TAGGTAAATGTTGTTGTGTATTAAATTAGTGAAAGACGATTGACCCTTTAAGAAATACATTATCTTAATTGACCCTTTAAAAAATGCATCCTGCTGATCTTTTGTTTAGCACATCCTTTGGTAAAAAAGATCAATTTTGTAAATTTATACTTACCCTAATTTTTTATAGTTTTCACCAGTTTAAAACTTTTTTTAAAAAAATTACAAGCTGTTTGTTCGGATGTATCAAATTCGCATAGCTGTCACCATCTCAATTTTTTAAAAGTATAAATAATACCGAGGCTTATTTTTACAAAAATTATTAGAACTGATTAAATTTCTTCAACTACGTTATTTTTAAAGCCTGCTAAAAAAAATTTAAAACGGTAAAATTGCCCTCAAATTTAAAAGAAAAATAAGAAATTTTGAAAAAAATATCTTCTCTATGTATCCTTTTCTAAGAATATTGTGCTATTTTTTTCATTTTAAAATACTTTATTTGTTTTTCTCCCTTTTTCGTCATGTTAAACCTTTTGGTGCTTACTTATTTAGCAGCAATAATCTGCAATTCTTAAAAAATTTTATTAGTTTGAATGAAATTTTCTGTATATTTTAACATTACAGGACAACTGCTTTAAAAAGTAATATATTAAGTTTTCTTAGTTATTATTCGTAAATTTCTTCATGTAACATTTTTTTGTTTTAGCAAACGTTGACTATACATACTTATGAAAAAATAACGACCTTTCACGAAAGCAAACTATAAGAAACGATCTGGCAATACTAATACTTCTCAAATAACTAAGAAATTGATACCGAGCAGTATTCAATCAATAAGAACAGAGCGATCTGTCATGTGTGCCAAAACGATAAGACATTTAAGTGAACAAAACTGAAGGCTATCATCCAAGAAAAAAGGAAACAAATTTGTGCCGTCTGTTAACACAACATTCTTAAGAAATCGATTTTCCGCTTTTTTTTAAAAAAAAAAAGAGAACAAAAATAAGAAATAAATAAATGTAATATATGAAAGAGCATCAAGAAAATTTAGACTGAGGCGGTATCTTTATCTTCGAGTATTATTATCTTCTGTTCTTTTTTCTGAAATATTTTCCGTTTATTTGTTGGCAATCGAAGCGAAAGACAAAACAATCGTCTGTCAGAAATGAAGGACTATAAGAAACGAACGAGCAGACGATATTGTTGGAATTGATAAGAAGAAAAGCCTCGTTATATTTCATGCTTCTAAGTAGGCTATTTTTAACAAAAATGAAAAAAAAGAAATGTCCTCAAACAAAAGTTTCAGCAAGCAGTTTTTTTTTATACTTAAAAGAAACAATTTACTACTCTTACATTATATAAACAAAAAAAAATGAAAATCAATTTTTAAAATAAGACATAAATGAAGTGCTTAATCTTACACAGCATTTAATTTGTTGTGTAATAAGCTAAAGGTATTTTTGATCTAATGGATTCTGCACTCCTGGTTTAACGAAAAATATTTTTAATTTAACTTTCACAATTTTAAAAAGATAGCTATAGAACGATCCTTTTTATATATTTTCATGCCTTATTTTATTAATTTAAAGAAATGACGTGTATGGTTGTCTCAATCCTGATTGTTTGTTGAAATGTGGCATATGTTTATGCTAGCAAATGTTCTTTCCATTCTATTTCGAGAATGCCAAGCCCATCAAGTATCTATTCTCTTAAGTGACACATTCTATATTCTTTCAAGCGGATTTCAATTATTTTACTGCATATTTTTACTTACCAAAAAGACAGACATGAAGCCATGCCGAGCATGAACAATCTAATTATGCATCGAAGTTGCCAGGTATACAAAACAAAAATATAACACGGTTACAATAAAATACATAAGGAAACAATAAATTTAAGAAACAATAAAGAAAAGGATGAAAACGCGATAAAGAAACAATAAAGTAAAAGATGAAAACGCGATATAATTATATTTCAAGAAATTTGATGTGTGTTAAGGCGCAGTATTTAACTTTGCCTTAATTAACATTCTAACATATGTGGAGACAGACTTAGCTCAACTTTAATACACCATTTAAAGTATCAACAGGCCTGACGCGTAGTGATAGTCTTGACGTCATGATCTTCTGACTGACGTCTTGATCCCATGTGTGGGTATTTGTGATCTCCTCTTCTTGAAGTCCAAGCACCCAATTCCAATTATTTGTCAGAATATGCAGAGTCATTTGACAGAATAGAAAAAAGTTTCTTAAAAAAGTAGTCTTATGGTTAAAAAAAAATTCTTAAATATAAATTTTATTTATGATTTTAAAACAGACTATTGAAATTCGTTTTTAAGAGATACCCCATATGCGCTTCCATTTCGTTCATGTGATATTTAAAGCTTCTATATGAGAGTAACAAAGTTGATTTTAGGTTTAAAATTCGCTTAAAGTAGTAAAACATATGTTTTTCAGGTGACAAAACAGATAAAAAATAATAAGTGTGTTGCCCTTTGCTACTTATGAAGTCTTATGGCCAATATTGAAAAAAAAAATATTTAAAATTTTTATTGTTAATCATTAACAATGAATTATTTTCCCTTATAGAAGTAATGAAGAAAATTAACATTATTTAATCAATATTGATAAGTAACTTAAAACAATTGTTTATGGTTGTAGTACAATCAAATTCATAGTTGAGAAAACAATGACAATGCTTTAAAAAACGCAAACGATTGAAAAATATGTGAGCAATAGCAATCACTTGTCTAAAAAGTACGATTTAAGATTAGTAGGTATTGGTTTAAAATTTTAATTTATTCTTCAGAAATAATAAACCATTTTCCTTTACATAAGTTTTGAAAAAGTCCATGCTGGCTAAGATTATAAAGCAACATAGATTATGAACTTAAATTGATTGCTCGTTGTTATGGATAATTCCATCCCCAAAGAACAGCAAAAAGTATGGTTGACAAAATCATGGTAATGTTTGGAGAACGCAAACGATTTAGAATGTGTTAACGGTACCAAAGCAACTGCTTGTCTATATAATAAAAATATCTTTCTTTCATTGAGTTATTTCGAAATTTTAAATTTGCAAGTTTAAAGCACATTATTAATGTACGGAACTAGAGAAATTTTGCTAAATATTCATCAGTACTCTAAAAAAATTTTATATCATCTTATTCTAAAGAATCTAAATAATATTCTAAAGAATTTTTCAGTTAGACAACGATTTCATCTTTTGTTTTTCAGCCAGCATTTATTGACCACAGTTGAGTTTTGAGTTTTTTCTTCTGTATTGATAATTTGCCAAAATAATTTAAATGAATCGAAAACTATCTTCTAGATTTCAACCCCCTGGTTGCTTTCTTGCATAACAAAACAGTTCCTTTATATGTTTTTCTGAAAGAAAAAGGTGTATATAAGGAAACTTTCACATAATGTGAACAAGGTAGCGAAAGCTCATTTAAGCATTTTGTGGTTTAATGCAAACAATTTAAATTAAGCAACCAAAATTTTAGAATTACTTTCAGTTTTATAAATTTTAATCGAAAATTGTTCTTACGAATTTAACAGAAAAATTTAGTTACTTTAAAAGAAATTATATTAAATATACCTTTATTTTTCAGCAATTTCTAAATCAAAATATTTTGAATCAAATTACATCCAGCTTCAATGATTAAAAAATAATCAAAAAAATTTTTTTTTTAAAAAATCTTATATACTTATCAGAAAAACATTCTCTGGAGCTTAGCAACAATATTTTAAATCTTTAAATATTATTAAAATGGAAATTCTCAGAGGTAAAAAGAACAACTAAAAGTTTTAAAAAAACTATTATTTATTCTTTCTAAAAATCATTTAAATATTTTCTCATTCTTTCTTTAATGATGAAGCGCATTAGGAGGCATTAAAGCTGTTTCAAGAGGCAAAAAAAAAGAATATAAAAAGCTAATTTAAAATCTTTTATTCACTTTTTCACCCGCTTTTATAAGTAGGCAAAATATTTATCCGATTAAGAACAAACAAAATGGTAATGGATTTAAATTTTGCATTGAAATCATTTCCATTATGTTTTTATTTACATACATGCAATCCGGATGATATTAAATATAAGTGATGTAGTAAAAATAAAATTCATGAAGTTTGTTTAAAATCTAAAAGATTTAGAATAGTTTGAAAACTTAAAATCTAATGAAATCCATATAGTATATATCAATTACCTATAAGTTTTCATTAATATAATTACTAAAACTAATCTTTCACTCCAAAAAGGATTATGTTTAGTGGTCTGGTAACTTGGTAACAAATTCTGTATTTTAACATTAGAAAGACTGAAGATTGCTGTATATCTAGAAAGACAAAAGGGTGACTCACTATTTAAAAGATGCTTACAAATTCTATCTGTAACCGCGTTTTTCATTTCATCAATAATTTTTTGTTTTTCTGGAGGAATATTTAGTGCAAACTACGCCTCTGAGCGATGTAGTGTTCGTTCAAAAACCACCATAAAATGAATATTTGCAAACTGTTGAAAAATGTGATTCTGAAAGGGGACTCACTATTCAAAAGATGCTTACAAAATACTATCTATGCCTGTGTGTTTCATTCCATCAATAATTTTGTGTTTTTCTGGCGGAATATTTAGTACTAACTACGCCTCTCAGAAATTTAGCGTTCGTTCAAAAACCACCATAAAATGAATGTTTGCAAAGTGTTGAAAAATGCGATGCCTAGTTCTCCCCGCTCTTAAGATTAAGAGTTCATAAACACGCATATAATTGTACGTACAGACTTTCTATTCAATTCAATATAATCTTATAATTATAAATAAATTAATGAAAATGTATATTTTTGTGAAATAGTATATTTTTTTTTATCTAAAGTCGTGTAATTGTGATTTTTTTTTATTTAATTTAAATATAAATTTTTCGCCATTTTTCATAAAATAACGTTTCGTTAAATTTTCATTAAATGATGTCAGTCATTTGCACACAAAAAATAAAATGTATTCTCATGATTTTTTTTTTGTTTCAGATATGGAGAGAGAAAAAGTTTTTCCATTTCTGCTAATGGTAGTTGTAGCAGCTTGTTACAGTAATTCGTTACTGTGTGGTCTTGTATTTGATGACCTAGCAGCGATTCGAGACAATAGAGATATTAGAACACACACCCCTCTCATCAATATTTTTAAGAATGATTTTTGGGGAACACCAATAAAGAAAGTAAGTAATTTATTTACTGCATTAAGTTGTATAGAGTGTTCTTATATATTGTGACCGTTTATACACTTTACAACCCTTTTCAAAAATAATGTCAAAAATTTGATCAGAAAGTGAAAATAATTAGTTAAGCCAAGAAAAAACAGAAATGCTCTCGATGAATGTGGGTGTACAGTGAGCCAAGAGAGAAAAAAAAACTGGCCACTCTGGATGGCTTTTGATCTAATGATCGGATTATCACCTTATAGGACTCATTCATACTGATTTCAGACCTCAAATATGCTAATTAATTAAAGCAGGCGATATTTTAAGTTACGAAATTGGACACCAAAACGTAATTTATTTGAATAAACATACCTTTTTTTCAATGGGTTTGGATTTCTGACTCGCAAAATATAGGAGATAGCGGCAATCTAGGAAACATGGTCCCCGTAATTTGGTCAGGAAAACAATCCTAAGTTTGGACCCCTTAATGCCATTTTGTGCGTATTCCGACAAATCTCAAAAAAATTTTAAGGGAATCGAAAATTTTTTGACTACTACTATAAAATTCGTCTATTCAAAGATGATTCCATGCAAAAAATTAATTTTTATAAATATTAATTATTCTTTAATATTTTATTAAATAGTGGTCGAAATTTTTTTTAAATGTAAGGTATGTTTTTTTCAAATCATTTTAAAGTATGTAATTTTACGTGGCAAAATACAAAATTTCAGCAAAATTGGTTTTATAGTTTCTGAGAAATCAAATTTTAAATTTACGACTTTTTCAAATTTCGATTTCTCAGGAGCTATTCAACCGATTTCACTCAAAGTTCATAGTTTGCATATAAAATTACGTACTTTAAAATGATGTAAAAATTGTATACAATTCAAAAATTTTTCGACAATTATTTAATAAAATAATCAAAAATAACGAATAGTTACTAAAATTTATATACTAATTTCATATAGTCACTCATTTATTATGCTTCTTTATGCTTTTTTATGCTTTATTATGCTTCATTAAGTGTTTCATTTTATTATGCTTTTTTATAATTATACATTCAAGTATATCCTGTGCACAGTCGGGTATTAGAATGGTGTTTTCAAAAAAATTTCACCCTTGTTCATTGAGAGCTCAGAAAATAATTATCAAACTTCCGATTTATTTTCAAAAAATTAACAATTTATCCAAATTAAGGCTTCAGATTATTTCTAAAACTCTTATTTCAAAGTAGTTTCAAGCTTCAAAGGGAGCCAAGGAGCTAACCACTTTTTTCAAATAAGCTATAAAATCTGATGAACAATATTGAAAGCAGAACATTCTTTAATATATCGAATTAAATTCGTAAAGTCTAATTTCATTTTCACTAAGTCTTATTTGTTCCTAATGTCTAATAATTTTTTTATCTTAAGTTTGATACTCACCTCTCATAGTTTGATAAAGAAACGAAAGCAAAGTTGGATCTAACTTCAAGAAAATTGTAATAAATTTAAAATAAAAAACACTACTGTCCATCTATTACTAAGTAAAAGATGGATGAAACCATATATAATTATGAAACTAAAACTTGCTAATAAATGTTCCTAAAATCTGTTTTAATTTATTCGGAAATATTTTATAAAAATAACATTATTTAACAACGTAATTAGATTAGTCTTGATATATCTTTAAAAACAAATGCTGTGCTTAATAAATAATTAACGAGCAAATACTGAGATACTTCAATTAAAATTAGTAAATTGAAATGAATTTTAAGAACTGAAATTAAGTCGTTATTCTGAGTTTTTTTGAGAAGATAATTAGAAAATTTAGGAAGCGTGTCGAAGATAAAAGCTTTAAATTTAAATAAATTATGAAAATACAAAAAAAATTCTAAATTAAGATGGTTCTCCCGAACAATTCTAAAACTTAGAAACAGAAATTTGCATCATTCATTTTGACTGTATATTTCGTTATGAACTGATGCTTCTTAAAACGAGTAAAAAGAGTAAAAGAAGAATTGTGCTCATTTCCTAAATAAACTCATTTATAATAAAAGAAAAAAAGAAAACAGATGTATTTTTATGCTTAGAAGAATTTTAGATTTTAAAATTATCTGTGGTTGTTGTTTAATTTATATTTAACGAATACTTTGCAACTAATCTCTACATGGAGAAAAACAATTCTGAAAAATTAGTCTACTTGTCAGAAAATACGATACCTGTTAAATAAAAACTATAATTCTGGCTAATAAAACCAAAATATATAAAGCACCGTATATGATTTACCGGAAATTCTGTTTTGCAAAACTACGGTTCTTATTACCACATATTTAGTAAAAAATAATGACTGAAAAGTAAATTTAAGAATGAATGTTTTGGCTCGCTTTAAGGAATTGTAAAAAAAATGACCAAATGTTAACATATTTACAACCAGCATGTTAATAAAACTACATTTTATTGTTAATTTTACTAAGAATCATAATAAAAGAGCTTCCGTAAAATTAATCGTGTTTTTTGTTCCCATAGAGATAGAACCAAAAAAATTACATTTTACCATATCTTGGAGATGGTTTTGATCATACTTTTGTTTTTTCATTTTGTGTAAATACTTTTACTTTGAAATGAAATTCCAAAATATTTTAGTGGCCCTTAATTTTTCAAAACAAGTTAATAAATTTTTTGTTACAGTTAAGCTGTTTTTCAAAATTTAATCTGCAGTTTTATAGTTTGAGTGTTACTTAATTTGCCAATGGGTAAGCATGTATGCAATGATGGCTTGCTAAGCCAGTATACTGTAAAAAATTCCAGATCAAATTATGGCATAAAGAACAGGAACTTTGGGTGTATCATCCCGAAAAAATCTTTACTACCGTAAAATATTATACCGTAATTTTTTCCGCTATACTTATTTAATCACAGTGATCCATTATTTTTTCAGTAATATTTATTTAATTAGAGTAATTCCGTGATTTTACTGTAATTATTACTACTTTTTTGCTCCGCCACATGTGATGGCCGCTACTTTTTTGGCCGCCACATGAAAAAAATGGGTTTTACATTTCACAGTAAAAATAACGATACCCTGAGTGCCGGTACTTTTTACCGTAATTTGATCAGAATTTTTTTTTACAGTGTAGAGTATGCTCTAGTGATTTGCATATAAGCCTTGCATCGTGAAATCTATTTTTCTATATTATAACAGCTATTTAACAGTTAAGCACCAAATTTAACGTTCTTTACAGGGAAATATTTGGCAGAAAATTAAATTAAAAACATACTATAAGGTCATTTATTTTTTCGTCCAAATTTAGAAAGATATAGCAAGAAAAAAACTGAATGGATACAGAAAAAAAAACGAAGTACTACCTTCAGAAGGTTAAGGTTAAGTTTAATTTAAAGGCTCAGGTTCAATTTAAAAATTTGGCTGTAAAAATATTTTCTACATTGGAAATTCAAAAAGTGAAAATCAATGCTCTTCAATAAAAAATTCAATTGCTTAAACTTTCAATTTCTATGAGTATTTAAAAATGCAATGCATATTGGATGGCTTTTAATATTTTGATACACTCATGCAAAAGTTCACGAGTTTTGGAATTTTGCACTTTGGTACATCTATCTTTTATGCATTTACAATTTAATCTTTTTTTCAAAAATTTATTTTAAAAAATTTTTTGTTAAAAACAATTTTTTCAAAATTTTCAGAAATATTTCATTTATTTTACCTTTATCTTATATAATGCTCGCATATCATAAAACAAATTAGTTCTCTATGTTTTTGGAACATAAATCACTTAAATTTATGCTGTTTTTCTGGGATTTTTCTAAGCAAAATTTCTTTAAGCGTACCAAACGACGCAGTACTATAAAACAAAAAGCTTCAATTTATATATACATTTTAAAATATTCATAACAAATAAATGCCAAGGCATTTGAAATAAAATTTGACTTTTTTGAATAATATTGTTATGCAATTATATTAATAGAGTCAGAAAAATTACGATCAAAACTACCAGAATATGGTGAAATTTATCGTGCTTCTGGCTCAAAGGAAAGACCAAAGTAACTTTTTTCGTAGCAGTTTGGTAATGATTTTAGCGAAATTAGCAACAAAACATGGTTTTATAACATGTGATAAAATTGGACAATTTTAACACGATACCTCAGAGCATGGTATAAAAACTTTTAATTTGGCAAAAATTTAATTTCAGTTTTGTGTTTTTTACAAAGTGTGTGGTGATAAGAACTATAATTTCGAAAACCAAGAATATCAGTAAACCGGTACCATAAGAAAGAAAAATTACTGAATAAATGGTTTGGTTTTATTTAACTAGAACTATGTTTGATTTTTTTTTCTTTTAATCATGTCATTACCCTACAATACGGTAATTTTCCAGAATTCTTTTTGCTGTGTATAAGGTTGAAATTATCGAAATATATTTACTTGGGATAAAAACTGCATATTTTATAATGATAAAAAATTTTTACAAATCTCCGGAATATATTAATTTCCAAAAATTTACTTGGTCTTAAATTGATCATAAAAGCATGCAGAACAATATAAAAGTTAAAATAAAAAAATATATAATACAACATTTGAATTCCTTTATGTCGATATTTCACGAGTCCCAATTTAGTGCATTGTTATCAATAACAATACAAATATTTAACAATAATTGGACCTAATTATCTTTTAATCATCGTCTAAATATACTTTAATTATAATAACTTGCAATAATGCTTGCTTATTGCTTTTATTTTGTTTTTAGTAACGTAATGACTTTCATGTAAATCATCTAATTGTCAGCACCATGTGGCTCTTTTGTATGATTTTCTGAATATTCCCAGTAAAGCCTATTTCACTTTATACATAAATCCTAATGTGCAGATAGGATAATGATGTCAGTTCCCGGATTTGCATTTATACCAGGCCATGAATACACCTTCGGAACAAAGCAATATTCATAACTGCTTATGACTTTATGTAGGCTATGTTAAAGAGGTACCGCCTGCACTGCATTTGTGCGTGACATTTAACATGACAGAAGGATATATTATTAGAGCACTGAGACGGGCTTGTCGAGTAGACAGACAAATGAGGCTGTTAGGGTGCTTTGTGATAGATTAATATACAGTTGCCTTGCTTTTGATTTTATGTTAAATAAGAGAAATAAGAAATATTTTAATATTTATGAAAAATAGAAGTAAATCTGTATTATATATTCCTATCAAACTTCTGGTAAAACTCATTCTTCTTGTAAAACATATGTGAAATCTATTTAAGGTGCTTATTGACCAACAGCTACCGCTAGTTTTTATTCTTTTTCATAAAAGTAAAGTTTAAATTTTCAGCGCTTCAAAAAGCTCACAGCCTTTTGTCCTAAAAATACTGACTGTCTGAAAAATAAATTTGAAAAATATGAACAAGAAATAGAATTGTACGGTTTATTACTCGATGCTCAGATAATCTGAAATATTTCCACTGAGTTTCAAAATTAGTTATAAGGTTCGCCAACAGATAGCGCTGCTAACTGTTGGCGAAAATCTCTATAACTGTATATAGCTTGCGGCTGTAAAGCGGTGCAGACTGAGAATAAAACTAGCCGGTACTCACGGAAATATTTCATTTGGTGTATTCTAAATTGCAGGAAAAAAAACATTGTTTTATAGTTTTCTCAGTATGCAGTGCCATCTTTTAGCACACTTTGTAACTACTTTTGAAAATTGTACACAGAAAATTGTGCATCTCTATCTTTTATTGAGTTTACAAACTATCTACTATTTATGAACACTGTCAGTATAAAAATCACACGAATGGCATTATACTCAACTCTCTTTGCGCAATATACGTTATGATGAGATGGAAATATATTGATGTACTAAAAGTATGAGACTACGAATAAATGGTTTTTGTTGACTAAATTGTTTTCTTTCTGTAGGAATACAGTCATAAATCCTACCGTCCACTAACAGTTCTTACTTTTCGACTGAACTACGCCGTCCACGGTTTACAGGCTTTTGGCTATCACCTTGTCAACATCATACTTCACGCTTTTGTTTGCATTCTTTTTCACAGGTATTACGTAGTATTTTTTTAAAATTAAAATCATTGTATATCTTAGGTTATGGTTTTATTTCCTTTACAAATTTTAACTAAAATAAAATTTGCATTATAGTTTAATTAGATATATATTTATGTAACTGAAATGTAATATGCTTTTCACATTTGCAGAAATACTTTTGTAAGTTTAATAATAATAGCTGATTTAATGACTTCTACGTATAGAGAAAAAAATTTAAAGCAAATAAAGTACTTCTAAAAGCATCTGACTTAGTAAATTAAAACTTGTTGTTTTTTTTTAAATATATGTTTAAAAAAAACAAGCTGTGTAATTCAAACAACAAATAGTGGTATAGTGTAAAGATCTGATACATTTGCTTCTTAGTGATGAAAGAATCATTAATACATACATTATTGTAAACAAAAACTTGATTTATTATCGAGTATTATTAAAAAGGTAAATAAAATGGTACTGAACTGAACTCAGTGACGCTGCAGCCCATAGAGGGCCAAGGCCTAATGTGCCCATCTCAGTTTTCTTGACCTTGGGCTCTGGGGTGCAGGAGCAGATGTTCCGGTCAGATGGTCAGACGAACGCGGAACCCCCAGTGTTTAGTTCCCAAGCATGCTTGGTACTCATTTATCAACCCACTGAAGGGATGAAAGGATGAGTCAACCTTGCCCGGCCCGAGGATGGAACCCAGGACCTGTGGCATGGGAGCGCGAAGCACTACCACTCAGCCACCAGGCGTTTTTAAATAAATAAAATGGTGATTTGCTTAAAAATGATATTGTAAGTAACATCTCTTATAACATAGATAATGAGTTACATTTAAAGAAACAAAAATTATGGCATTTTTATTGACTAAAGACAGTCAGACTGAGGGTTAAATCTGCCAGTCGTAATGCCAAGAACTTTCAATAAGCAGTGACTGAATTGTTCCCAAGGGATTATTAGAAGAACGGGAAGCGATCCATAGTTGGCATTTTATCGAAAGATAAAATAGCCAAAAACAAAGCCAACCCTGCATTATTAAAATAGGATTTTAAATAATTTGGCTACAGCTTAATAAGCAAAATGACCATGCGAAATTAATATGACCCTGTAACTGAAACATTTTTGTGCTTGGAAAAATAAAATAACTTAAGGAATAAACAGTTGAAAACGGATTTTGATGTTTGATTTAATCGCGACAGTGAATTTATGAGTCATATATGCATCAATTATAGATTTGTATTGAAATACGAGTTAACCATTACATTGTTTGATAATATAATATTTATATTTTCCTGTTACAAACTGAAATGAAAATTTAATAATTGGTTTAATTTAATTAAAATTGGATTAAGAATGATTAAAAAAAATTAAATTTATGAAATTAAAGAATATTTTTAGAAACTTGGGAATATGTAATGCCCTAAGGACATAATTTATTAGAAAAATATTGCAGTTTCACTTTGATGTCCACTTTTCCATACAACAATTTTGAATAATATTTTGTTCGATTTTCCTTTGCAGATAATAGCAATTACGCTCCGCTTTAGTTATTAGTTCCTCATTTGATTATGCTTCACTTTCTAGTCTAATTTTTAATTTTATTTTGCTCCACTTTCCATTTCAAACCTTTAATTTCTTTCATCCATTCATCAGATCCTTTTCTTTTCTTTTTTGCATTGTAGTTTTTCCTCCTTCGTTTCATTATGTCCCATTTTGAAATGGTTCATCAATCCAATATAAAGCACTTCTCATGTCAATTTATTTGTTTATTTGTTCCTTATATCCTACTTTTAACAGCAATTTTTAGTTTCTCAGTAATATATAACCCTCTTTTTATTGCAGATTACATTGGGGAACACAATTTTTTGTTACATTTATACAAATACTTCATCTTTCCAAACTCGGGTGTGAGCATTTAAGATCTAAAATTAATGTTGCTCCTAAAGCTACATATTTTTAAATGACATATTTAGTCTATTTCTTGTCGAAACGTTCAAGTTTAAATACTTTGCATATTACGGAGGACTGTGCAAATGTTACTACAAACTTCAAGGGGAGTTAGGGTACATCACCAGGGTTGAAAGTGCATAGAATTCAATGCCCGAAAATGTCTTTTCATGGGACTAGGGGAACTTTAATATTATGATATGCTCAGGGGCACACGAAGAAATGGTTCATATGAAAGAAGTCCCTAGCGGCGTATGACTATATTTGCGGGCATGAGTTCATATGCAATTTTAATTCAAATGATGTGCCCTAACTCTCTTAGAAGTTTTACGCAGCATTTATGCGACCTTTCTGCTGTACATAATGTTTTAAACTTGTTCATTTCGACAAAAAATAGGCGAGAAATGCCATTTAAAAGAAAAACTGTAGTTTGGAGAGAGAAATCGATTTCTGGTTTCAAATCAGTAATACGAAAGTATCTAAGATCTGTAAAAAAATTTAAATGCAAGAAAAACAAAAAATAAAATCTTTTCCCCGGTGTTTTGTTCTATAGTCATAAACTGCAAAAAAAATTTTCAACAGATGACCTGTTCAGAGACACACGATGTATCATGTATTCCCACATGCATCAACCTATTTCTACGAAAGCAAACTGAAGCTTATTGCTCCATTAGATAGGGAACGTTTTCAAATAAATACGGTTTTTTAACTCGTGTTTGAAAATAGAACCCTTGCAAGTTATCACCTCTTTTACATTTTTCCTTATTTTAAAAATAATATATAAATTATTTATTAAAAATATACATCGAAAATATTTTTTACGAAATAACAATATACTTCTAATTTTTTGGAAGTCACAGCATTTCCCGAAATTGAAGCTATTTTCTCCATAACTTCCATCATTTATCATTTTTCATTCATCTAAGAAAAGATTAAGTACAATTTAATGATTGCTGACATGAAAGTAAAACAAGAGCAAATGGAAGTAAAGATTTAATGACAGCGCATCGTTAGCAGATTTGATACTAAGAACTAAATGGTAAAAGGGTGATATTTAAACTGTATCTACAAAATAAGTATACTTTTTTGCTAATAAGTCGTCTCTTTAAGATGATGAATGGAAAAAATCACGAATATATTGCATTCGAAATAGTGTAAAAGAGTAAATATTTTGACTAAGTGAAATAAATAACGTAGCTTTTGTATTTTTATCTTCACAGCATAATTTAATTGTTTGTATGAATAGATTATAAAAGTAATGGAACCTAAATAGTTTAAAATATTTAGAGCTGGACAAACGATATTGTCCTGGAAATTGTTTAAAAATGAGTTAAAAAAAAATAAAAATGTAAAATAAATGAAGAAAAAAAACTGAGAAAACAATGAAATTTTTTTAAATTTATTTCTCAATTTTTTTCTAACAGAAGTTATATATTGACTTCAATAGAGTCTAAATTATTATTATAAACATATGTACTAGAAAGAAATTTATTTCTTTATGCTTATGCACACCCATTCCACTTCCAAATATTTTCTTATTGATTCCATTAACCCCTTCTTTCTCGATCCCGTAAAAATGACGAGGTGAGGTTTCGCCCTCTATTTCTCGCTCCCGTGAAATTTCCAGGCTGGAGTGTTCAGTAGTAACGGGCCAATAAGAATAAAACTAATTCATTTCCTTTGCCCGGAAAACATTTTATTTCTCCTTTTACGCACCAGATAGCAATACCAGGATATTTTTTAGGTAATTGTAGACAGTTAATTTATTTGAAACTAGATGTCAGCACTAATTAAATACGTGTATTTGGCAAAATAGGCACTTTTATGATCGTTTTCTTGAAAATTAACGGAAGGGGTTAGGATCTATTAGTGAGCATAAGAAGTTTTTCCGAAAAATTCTTTTTTAAAATAATGTGTAAAATTAAAAGTAAATTGTTATAACAAATTTGGTAAGTTCACAACCTTGATTTAGTATTTTCGATCACCAAACGGATATTAAACACAATTTTTGCATGCACCACATTGCGCATAAAGCTGATCGTTAGAGTTCTAAATAATTTAATGAATCTCTTTCATTGTAATTTATAATGGTAGATTCATGCAAATTGCATAAAAAATAATTATTGTAAAACTGTTAATAAGACTAAACACCGATTTAAATAACTTTAATGTATCGTGGAATTACGTTATAATAAAAAAAGTAATTCTTTTAGTTTAAAACTCTTAAAAAAACTATCAAAAGTAATTCTCTTAGAAAGCTATCAAAATCAAAAAAGTAATTATAGCAGTAAAGGTAAATGCCGTTAAATTAGGGATGCAAAACTATTTATAGAAAAACAATACGTTTGTGGCGTAACTACCACTATAAATATTAAATACCAAATCACTAGTATATAAGACATTTTAACTCGATTCTATCATGAGGTATCTTATAATAGATGTGATGTTGAAATAGTCGATAATTATGTCCCCACAAATGGTGACCCGGACGTGATTGAATATTGAAAAAATAAAAATATATAATGAGCGAAATGCTATGAAGGAAAAAAAAGAATTACTGAGCGAAATGTCATAAACAAAAAAAAACCATCCGGTGAAGTAAATAAAGACTCCCGGTAAATAAACAATATTGAAGGAAAAAAATTAGCGAAATGCTATAAACAAAAAATACGAAAAAATAATAAGTAATATGCTATAAAAAATGAAGAAGGAATATAATAAGCGAAAATGATATAAATATTTAAACAGCATGAATCAACTAGTGGTAATCGTTCATCGAATTCAATCACACATAAAATTCTGGAAGGGGGGTAACGTGGCGTAACTACCACTACAAATATTAAATACCAAATCGCTAATATATAAGACATGTTAACTCGATTTTATCATGATGTTCATTATAATAGATGAATATTGAAATAGTCGATAATTATATCCCCATACCTTTATGCCTTTTATTAATTTTATGCTCATGACAATCAAAGCAATATGGAAATCAATGTGGAAAAACAGGATGTAATTTTCCGGCCAGTGAAGATGCACCCACAGCAATGAAAAATCATGTTAGACCATTATGTTTTCATGTTATATAAAAATATGGGATTAGAATTAAAGATTATCGCATAAGGATTACCAAAGGAACTGTAATTAAATATCGCAAATGAAACATATTCTAAAGCTATAACCTGTCTATAACTGAAAAGCTTTAGCACCAAATGTGAATGCATAAAAGTAGTTGAATAATTAAAAGGACTTGTGTAAAATTATAATTTTAAGACCCTTTTTTTCTTACGTGGAATATCTCATCACATTTTCGATCCTTCTGTAAATTGATAAGGACCTAATTATAATAATTGTTCCTGATTTTCTCCTTCACAACAAATATTTAAAAAAAATTATTTCGGAATCGTTTTAACAGTAGATATCTTTAATGAATATCTTATTTTGATAAAATTCGTAGTTGAGTGACAAAATAAAATTATCCTCAGGCCGACATTAAAAAAATAATGTGAACTTAAGAGCAGAACAAACAGATGATCATAACGTCTTTTCTAAGAGAGGGGAAATAAAAATGAAGATTACTTTTACCAAGAATATGTCGTTCTTTAATGAGCAAAATGCTCAGCACTTATTTAAATCTCTGAAAGGCAAATTAATAATGATAATCATTTAATTATCCATAATGGTTGTGGCGAATGACATTATCGCCAAGCCGGCATTCAAAAAAATTATGTAATCCTAGAGCAGAATATGATCTGATGATCTGAACTGTATCATAACTACCACTACAATTATTAAATTCCAATTCACTATTATATAAGATAAGTTAACTCCATTCTATCTTGGGTATCATTTCATAGACGAAAGTTGACATAATTGATAATACTCTCGCCACAGAACGACTATTCTAGAGTGGTGGTGTATGTGCAAATTAAATTTAATAAATTTTTTGTTCTTTCAAGAATGTGTAGTTTCTTGAAGAACTACACATTCGAATATGAACAATAATTTTGTTATCCGTAGTTGTATTTATAAGACAAAAAAAAAGAATGCTGTTTCTAGTGTATCTACCACTACAAAAATACAGTTCCAATTCACTAGTATATAAGAAATGTTAACTCGATTCTATGGGGGAGGGGGGTACCTTTTCATAGAAGAAAGTTGGCATTATCGATATCTACTCTCCTTATATTGGTAACCTTCGGGCGTGATGTGAACATGCCTACCTTGACAGATATTCCCACTTCGATATGAACACTCTCCCCACATTTTAGCCTTCGGACATGAGGTGAACACGTCTACCTGAGTAGAAACGCCCAATACGATTTAAACACGCCTACTTCGATGGATGGTCAACATTGAACAGTTGACTTGCTACTTGTGATTGCGACGTAGTCCTCCTCACGCTGTTACTTCTCATCTCGATCACACAGAGCGTACAACGTATACACTCGACTGCTAAAGGCAACGCAGAAGCGACCACGACCGTAAACTTGTAAACTTAATTCATCTCTCACGATCAGCACTCAAAAAGTACGGTGATCTTAATACAGCTTCCCCGACTTCTCACAAAAGAGTTAACTTACTCATTTATGTATTTTTACCTCAATTCAATATCATTTGATATGTTAATATATTATAAGAAACAAAATCGCGTAATGTAAAATTATTCCCTAAAATATGCGTATGCACTCTGTTAGTTATACTGCCTTACTCAGTAGCAGAACCTCTGTATTTATCTGCAAGACCATAATGCTGCATTTGGTAGGTTCGCAAATTTCAAAAATGCAATCTCTTTGAAATGAAGGTAATCAACTTTTTTAAATTTATTTTTGTCTGCAGTAACTTAATTAAATTTTTATTGCGTCGCAACTCAATTTTGAATAATTTTTAATGTTAGGTTTATTTTTGTCTGAAAGGCCAAAATAAATCTGCGGTAACCATCAACAATGTTCTAAGAGGATATAAAAAGGCTAGCTTGAAATTATCAATATTTTCACAAAGCCAAGGTGAAACAAGGAATAGAGAACTCGCATTTCTGTGATGCGACCCCGGTTCAAATCCCTGTGGCAGCTTGTCGAAAAGAATTCTGCTCCCGGCAAACACAGACTACAGTGCCGAAGTAAAATATCCTCCAAGCAAGATGGATCATAGATTAGATTCTTCCGCTATCACGCAATTCGTGGTTTTTCTCTCCATGCAATGCAAACGCGTACTTAGTTCCAACAAAAAATTCTCTACGAATGCTATTTTGTCCCAAAGTTTGATCCTGAAGCTTCCTTGTCTTCTGCTTTAGGTTCAAATTTACATGGATACAGAATTAGGCATTGGTAGTCGTAAGCCAAAGAATGGATGAGCTATTCAACGTCGGATATTAAATGAAATATTTTCCCAAGTTTAAAAGTTTTTATGTACATCTGATTTTGGTTAAAGTTGAGACAATAGAAAGAAAATAAATTTAGGTAAAACTTGGAAAAAAAATTTTTTTATTTATTTTATATAGTTTTTTTAAACAAGTGGTTTCTTAAATCTCTCAGCATACAATTTTATGACAACATAATCTCTACAGTAAGGAGTTAAATTTCTCATTTATAAACAAATACCACAACATTCAACTATATCATTAAGATCAAAATCATTTAATGCATTAAAATTACACCTTTAATTGTACGCCTACTCGCAATTATACTAATTATAATGCCATTTGAAATCCTTAATATCAAAATAATTAATGTATCGGATTTATGCATTGACTTACCATCATACAATTATTTAAATTTTCTCGATTTATTTTTCAATTGAAACAAATTTGTTCCTAATCTACTCACAACCTGATGTTTAATATCAGTTGTTTATTTATTTATTTTAATGAAATCTACATCTGGTATTAAAATTTCTCAGAAATTATCATTTATCGTGTTACAGAATTCTCTCTCTAAGGCTAAATCCAATAAACATCTCGAGATTGGAAATTCTTTAGTACATTCCTTTACAATTATTGCATCAACAAGTTATTTCTAAGCATTATACGTCAATATTTGTTGTTCCAGGCGTATAACGCTTTCATGGCCGACTGCTTTTAAATCAATAATACCGACATCTGCTTTTGTGTGATTTCTTGAATCGGAATAGATTGCCTTCAGTAACAGAAATGTTTGTGAATTTATTTGGGATACGACATTAGAAATGATTTTTTTTAATAGATTGGATATTACATTGTTAGAAGGCCAAAAAAAATTTTGCTTGGATTTTTTTCTAAAATATATTATTAAAAATATTTTGCATTTGATTATCTTGCACTTGCCGTTTTTAGAGAAAAATCTTTATTTTCTCTAAACTTTATAGTTATAATTATTTTAAATATTTGCTTAATGTTTTTATTACTGATTAAGAATTCGATAGATTAATGAAGTTTTTCAGACTCTAACTGAGTCACTGCTTCATTTAAAAGTTTTTTAGCATTATATTGCTATAATTTTTATAATATTTTTTTTAAAAAAATTATCGATTACTTTGGAGGACAAATCTTTGTTGCATTTATACAAATACTTGATTTTGCCTAGTTCGGGTGTGGGGATTTCAAATCTAAATTTGGTTTTGCTCCTAAAGCTACAGAATTTTTTTAATTATGTTTTTTGTTGAAATATAAGAGTTCAAAAACGTTACATATAACAGGGGGTTGCGTAAATGTTGCAGGATTAAAATTTCATACGAAACTATGCTCGTAATTGTCACCATAGGCACTTCCTTATAACGAACTATTCAGAAACACGATCATAATATGGAAGCTCTCTCAGAGGCGTATGACGAAATGGGTTTCTATGCAATTTTAATCATAATGTCCTGATCCCAAATTTCCCTAACAGTTTGTCTCAGCATTTATGTGACACCATGTTTTACATAACGTTTTTAAAACTGCAAAACTTCAACAAAAAATTTACTTTAAATGTCATTTTAAAAAGAAACTGTAGTTAGAGAGAGAAACCAATGGTACATTTGAAATCTGTTGATCGTATATATCTTAGTTATATCTTGATATTTCAATCTTGTATCTTGATATTTCAGTCTTATATCTTGATATTTCAATCTTATATCTTGATATTTCAATCTTATATCATGATATTTCAAAATAAATCGTATATATCTTGATTTTTCAATATTCCTTATCTGAAATCGGTATTACATGATGAACCAATTAAATTATCTCTCATTATTGATTTTCTGAAGATTTAATCCTTCAGTTATTTAATGAATGAAGCTTTTTATTGAGTTATTGAATTCCTTTTAATTTATTAAGAATAGTTGCAGCTACTATACAACAAACGAAGCTACTTTTCATCCTTTTTAAAACTTTTTTTTGTACGAAATTGAATTTCGCTTACACTTTTTTTTGTTTTCTTCCGAACTAAAAAACGTTTGAAAATAACAGTTTATCAAAAAATTTTGTTCTAAAAAATGTATGTGTTATTTTAGGATGTGCCTCTATTTCCTCTCCAGTACTTCCAGCATAATATCCAGCTTGTTGTTTGCTGTACATCCTATTCACACAGAAGCCGTAGGTAGCTATGACTATTCTTTTTGAAATTTAAAAATGTTTTTTTTCACTAACAACCAAAATACTTGACCAATGTTAAAAAAACGCACTTTTGCAAATTAAAAAATATTTTACTGTAAAAAAAAGAAAAATGAAAAAGAGATTCTCAATTAAGGCGGATTTGAAAACCCAGTGTATTCCAAATTGAAACAGCATATATTCACTTTTGAGCAAAATGCATAGTCCCAAAATTAATGTGGTGAGAAAAATGTGTCAAAGAGATATTTGTTGCGTGACGGCAGGATTCGAACCAAGGATCTTCAAAATCGAAGTAGGATGTTCTAACCACATTCATTGCACAGCCTTGTCCAGGGAGGTTTAGCAAGCTTTACATAGTGACCACCACAATATTACATCATGTTATACTTTCCTGTGGCTTTGGAATTTTTGAGATATAGCAAAAAATGAAATAAAAATTACCGATCTCCTGATATAGCTATCAAGACCATATATTCCAAATTGCAACCGTTTGTACCATTAAAATGAAAAATAGGATGTTATGAAGTGTCATGCTCTTGCACATCCCCAAGACCAGCAGAGACCTAGATTTTGAGCACCCTAAAAAAGAACAATAACATCACAGGATTGTCCGTCTGGTAAGCTCCAGGCAATCAAGGATGTGGTCAGAGAACGCCTGTTCATTGTGACACATACTGCAGTTAATGAAGTGCTATATAGAGCTTCTCAATTCTTCCTCACTGAGGTGTACAACTATGGCGGTTAGAGCATCCTACTATGAACCTGCAGTGGGATGCTCTAAACATAGTAGAATGCGGAGTGGAACTTTAAAAAAATTTCAAATTTTCATAACATATATTTTGTAAAATAACAGCCAATGGACATACTAATTTCAAATTTCAATTTTACAATGGGTTGCAATTTGGAAAATATGATACCAAAGCTTAGTCAGGAAATTTTTTTAACTTCATTTTTCACTCATTTCGCTTTATCTTAATAACTTTATATGAATTGAATGTATGGCGTGATGTATTATTTCGATGGTCACTAAATTAAGCTTCCGAACTCTCCCTAGAATGGTGTGTTCAACTATGGTGGTCAGAGCATCTTATTATGAACCAGGAGGTCCTCAATTCCTGCCGGCAGCAAAGAACATCTCTCTGACACATTTCTTCTTCGTTGCTAAAAATGAATATATGCTTTTTCAATTTTAAATACATGAGATTTTGAAATTATATAAAATTTTTTCAGGAGATATTTTGACACATCTATGCTGAATTTCGAAACAATCTTTTTTACAGTGTTTTTAACTACGTACTGATGATTAAAAAAATTCAGGGAGAGAAATAGATGATTTTTAAATAGTTTAATAGTATAATTAGAGTTATATCGCTCATGGGCTGCAATAGCGGCACAACTCAAAAAATCAAGTCTTGAGATAAGTGGGGTTAAAGTTTTCATACCGATGAAAACTTTAATAAGCAAAATGCATAAGAAATGCTTTAGTTTGCTTAAACGAAGATTAACTTCAAGTTGAATTATAAGTTGTGCTAGTATTGCTGCTGGAAGAATGTGTATTTTCATTTGTACACTTGTTCTTAGTCCAAAACGCGTGTCTTTTGAGTTGTGCCACTATTGCAGCCCATGAGCAATATGTTATACTATATAGTATAATTAAAGTTATATGTTATGTTATAGAGTTATAAGTTATGTCCAACGAGAGCACCAAGTTATGCATCTTTTAAAAAAGTTTTTAATCAAACAATTACCACACTAATCTCTTGTAAATAGTTGACATGAACACTTTCTCTATAAATGCATAATCCGTGCAACAAAAAAAAATAGATACGTTAAAAACCAAAAAACAAAAATACTCATATTGTTAATAAAATAAATATGTTCTATGTACTGAATAAACTATGAACCAGTTACTTTTTCAACAACGTTTTTGTGATTTGAACGAAAAGATGAACAATCTAACGGTAAAATTCATTTAAATAACTTAAGTAGTTTTTACTGAAAACTTAATCATTATAATTGCCTATTTGTAACGTAAGAAAAATTCGATTACTTTTTAAAAATAAAATTCGTCCTTTTTTGTTACAATTATTTTCGTAAATTGTATTGAAATTGTATTCAACATAGTAATTATTTCAATCTTTATTAGTTATTCATCCACTCACTTCAATTTCTATGAACGAAATACCAATTTGTAATTCTAATTGAGTTTTAATACTTAACAAGAAGATTAGAAAATTAATCTTTTGAAATTCTTACTCGAAGTTATTATAAAATCTTGAAAGGTATCTTTTACAGTAGAAGATTATAGTTAAAACATAATGACTAAAAAGAGAATGCAACGATATATTTTTAATAAGTTTCTATACCATGATTTTTGTTTTATTCTTAGAAAAAATAATTAAAATAACCTTTCATAATCTAAATATTTTATGAACAAAATACATTTTATAATTACTTAAATAATTTTAAAATCTTATAAGAGAACAAAACTGAATACGCAATCTTAATATAAACAGAAGCTTAAATATTGTTATGCATCAATCAAATGATTATGCATTACATAAAGGTATTTATTTCTCCTCGGTATCTACAGAATGAGAATAATTTCTTATTTATTGCATTTACGTTTATTATAATAACGTTAAATTTTATTGTAGTTACGTTATTATGATATATTTACATTTAACATACAATAACGGCAATATAATAAAAAAATAACGTGTACCCTATTAAAAAAATCAACTTTCTTCAAAATATTTGCTACAAACTTATTGCGAACTTAGAATTATTCTAAGTTGAGTCATATTGTGGTGCAATTTTATTCTTCTTATACAAGATAATATGGTAAAGCTTTAAAAATTCTATTTAAAAGCTGAAACACATTTCAACGCAATTACAGTTCTAAGAACTGTAATGAAATCCAAATGTACTTCATTTATTAAGAAAAACGACCATAAGACTTATGAAAAACATCTCAAAACTCTTCCAAGAGAAACATTGCCTGTTTCAAAGACTTAGGGAGACATGAGCCATCCAACTTGATGCCTCCCAGTATCAAATTAATTTTTGCAATTGCAAGTTTCTTAGACTTTTGAATTAGACTTAGAAATTGAGAAGCCCAAAGTTGATGTTTTTATTTTGAGGAAGCCAAGGATTCCACCTTCTATTGTTCTAAAAGTCGACTATGGGAGGGTTTAATGGTCTGAGAAAGCAACATGTTGGATGGCTGCACGGCCTCATTCCCCTATGTCTATAAAAGAGTCATTATTGCTTACATAAAAAGAAAGGTTTTTCATTTTAATTTAAAAAAATGAATTTAATTTTAATGAAAAACAGACTCATCATATCCAGGATTTTACAGAAAGTAAATATACTCACTGGATTCATAGTTGAGCAATATCTCCAGAGCAGAATCTGATTGAGAATGTTTTTACTTCCTTCGTAAATAAGTAACTGCTTTGAGTCCTCCTCCGTTGTCGCCGCTAAAAGAGTTGGAACAAGGGTTACTTCGTTTTTGGTCTTCTTTCCCTATTTCAGTGTCTACAAACTTAATTCGTAGCATGGAAACTCGACGTGACTAATGCAGCGTAGTTAGTGGTTATATGCATTCTTTACAATAACCCATCTTTGTAATGTTTTTACGACAATTTTCCGAGAAAAACTTTAAAGTACTGTTTGCTCTGTAAAGGGACTTTTCTTCTTAACGTTTAATTTTTTTTCTTCTGAAAATAATGTTCGAATTTATGGGAAATTCGGCATCGTATTAATTAAAAAACTGTTTAATTTCCCATTTCTGCTAAATGTCTCGTTTTTATGTTTATTCCTCACTAGATTACGTTCAGTGATCGGTTAAAAATATACCAGTCACTGACCATAAAATAAAATCATTCTCTAAAACAGGGCTCGAAAAACTACCCGTCCTCGGCGGTCGAAAATTCCCCGCGGACAACAAATTTCTTGAATCCGACGTTTTCCCGTTAATGTTCGTGATACATTTTCAATTTTTGTTATCTTACAGGAGTCCAACTCCTCACTTCTAAAATGACCCTCTAATCTAGAAATACAGCAACATACTGCGCATGGTGGAATTGATGTTTTCTCAATATGGAAGTACTACAGCGGTTGAAAGGGGCTTTTCAGAAATGAACTTACAAAAAAACACATTAAGTACTGGTCTTAAACAAGAAGCGTTAAACGCAATTATGAACATCTACCTAAATGGAAAACCCCTTTCAGATATCTGTGCAGAAACCGGTGTAAATCATTGGCTTGATCGTGGAACTGACAAACGTCATATTTGATTCATTTAAAAAACACAGTACCCTTGGATAAATTGACATTCCAGATAACTTGATTTTTGTCATTTAAATTATTTCATAAAGGAAATAAATTATTTCATAAAAGAATTACTAGGTTTTACTATTAGTAACCTAGTATTTCTTTTATTACTGTATAATGTAATCCTAGTAACTACTTATTCATTGGGCAATTTATATAAATGTTAGTAATAAATAAGAGAAAATTATATTTTTATTTATATAGAAGCTACGGGTCAGTTTCAAAGGAGGACGGGTACATTAAAGGACAAGCCGTCCTAGGGGACGGGTAAAATTTCTGAGTTTTTTCGAGCCCTGCTCTAAATGTATCATGACTATAAAAATGCAAATGCGCCAATTTTTCTGTAAAATGTATGGCCACTGACCGTAATCAATAGTGTGCTTGTAAAAGTTATCTTCAATTCGGGTCTTTACGTTGTTTGAGACTCAGATGATTTATTCGACGAATTAAAGCGAACAGTAGAACGAGGCGAAGTAGTGTAACGATAACATCTGTAGGGAAGTGAGAGCGTTGCGTATTCGTTATCGTGGGCATCGATAAGGAGAGAGTGCGAGAGAGATTTCAAAGTGACAATTGGGATCGAACTCGGAACCTGTGCGACCATAGATAGATGCTTCGACTACCATGAAAAAGAGTGCCTAGTTAGATGAATTTATAAAGTGATTGGCATAATATGAAGCTGTTTGAAACCCTACTAAATATAAAAGTTTCGATTAGACAAAATGTTAAATCTAGTTTTAATTATAAAATAACTTTGGTTTTGTATGAATTCGAAGAAAAAAATTTCTATTAATATTTCTTTTCATCATAACTTTGCATAAAAAAGATTTTTGCTAAAGCAAAGGTTAAATGCAATTAAAATACATTTAATTTGAAAATTACTAAAATTTAGAATTCTTCAATAGCATAATTTTAAGCAGAATTTAATATAATTTAACTATGTTCAAATGTTAGTTAAAAATTCTCAATGATTCAGAATTAGACAATCATTAAAATAATGTCAAATATGTAACTTATGCACTTTTTATAATATATAAGGGAGGAGTATAATATATAAGGGTCAACTCTATTGACTTATTTAATTAGTCTTCCAATTCTACTAATTTTACGAAAACTTCTTAACTTTTGGAGGCTAGCGTAGCACTCATCTGCGTAATACTGTATTTAACTACTTGTTTTTATGTAATGATAATGGGCCTTATTATCATACAGGTAACTGGCATAGTTGGTCGAGCTGAGCTTTTATCTGCGTCTGCTTTTTTGAGTGCCTTACTTTATTACGTACATCACAGATATCAGAAATCTAGAAATAGTAAGTGCGATTCACGCTTAATATTTTTTAATGGAATTATTTAATAATCTATATTTCTTATTATTTTACCCTTATCATAAATGTAGCATGTGGAATAAAAAAAATTATATAATTCATAAATGACTGTGAAAAAACTTTATGCGGCAAAAAAATAAAGTTTATTTTTAAATGAGATAAAAAAATAAAGTAACGGTAAACTAAATTACACTTTGGCTTTTTTCGTGATTTCTGTTGTTTTTTTTTTTTTTCTTAAAAAATTATTTTACCTATATATTAAAGTAATAGGTTTAAAATATCTTCTTGATTAAGTTTCAATGATTAAAATATTTTTTTTAGAAAAAACTACTTCAAAAATGAGAAATGGCATTTCTTTATTTCATATTATTTTTTTAAAAAACTATTAAATTAGTTTATGAAAACTAGGCTTACTTAGATACTTTAAAACTGACGCATATTTTGAAACTGGAACATTTTTTTTACAAAAGACATCAATTATTTTACCATTTAATTTATTTTTATTATTTTTAACTACAAAATTAACCTATTTGTTCCCATTTATATTTATAAAACAACTTTTTACTACGCATTTTATTCTATTGTAATAATACTATTTGATAGTAATGAAATGGATTTTAACGAAAACCCTCGTTATTATATTTTTAAATCTTCTCATATTATTTTAATGTGGTAAAAATTTTTAAATATTTCATATTTATTTTATTTAGTTAAAGCAACGTTTTATAACCTATATCTGTTTATTACTAATTACCATTAAAAAGCAATTTAAAGCTGAACAAGTTAGTTTATTATTAATAAGAAAATGAAGTATTTTCGTATCTTTCAGCTTTCATATTTTATAAATATTTGTACTTCATGTTTAGCCTGGCAAGACTGTGGTACAGTATCTATAATAACTGTTGCTGGATTACTTTGTAAGGAACAAGCCGTCACAGTTCTGGTTATTTGCTGTGTATATGAACTTTTCTTACCGAAAGTAAGACTATTAATACTTGCTTCATCTTTAGTTTTTAAGGAGTGTGATAAAAATATTTTTAAATGATACGAAATTAAACGCATTTGTTCATATTCACCAGCACATTTCCTTATTTAGTGCATCTTGATGTGTTGCATCTTGAACCACATGTAAATTCCACCACTGTAAATATGTATGCCCCTCTAATGGATAAATTCCATGCTTGGTAAATGTAGATGATATGTATTATATGCTATGCTGTGAACGTTTTCAGGTTTTCCAGGCATTTCGTGATTTTTTTTTAATTTTGTAGCTGCTGTATTATTTTTACAGTCAGTTTGATTTGAAAACAAAACTTAACAAAAAGTGCACTTTAAAACAGAGCTAATGTTAATAGATTCCAAAATGTGCCTCTTTCTGAGATAAAAAAAGTTTATTTTTGTTACACTTAAAAAAAATTTAAAAAAAATATGCCTTGAACCAGTCTCCGTATTGTACACTGGAACGACTCAAGATATGTGCAAAAATCCAATTTATATCAAATATGTATTCTTGTAATTTATGTCACTCACAATTTCTGAAAGTTTTTATGATCTTAGAAAAGCTATACATATTTGGAGCATTCCACCCAAACTATTCCTTTTTACGTTTATAATTTAATTTTATTCAATCATGTATGCAATTAAAAGTAAAGTATACAAAAATTACTTTTAATTGGATGAACATTAATTTGCAAGTTAATCAATTAACAAGTTTAAAAGAAGCAAAATTCAAAATGAGTTCTATTCTATGAGTAACATAATTTGGTCCAGAGTGCAATATGTGTTGGTCCAAGATACAAGACAATTTTGGAAACTTCTTAAAACATGAAGTTTAATAAATTGTTATATAAGTTCTTGGCTAATAATTGCAACAATTCTCTTATTTGTAAATTTCTTAAGAATAAAATTTCGTGTGTGTTGCATTTAAATTAATTCTAGTCTGAAATGCAGCTGAAATGTTTTCATTAGCATTATTTTCCTTTAACCAAACTCTACAAAATGAAGTCTTCAATAATCGCATAACAACTCATAAAATTCGTTACGTTTTTTTATTTTTTATTTTATTAACAGCAGTTTAAACAATAATGAAAAAACGGTTGTAAACAAAGCTAAAAACTAGAATAAAACAAGCATTTGACTGCAGAATTACAATTGAGTATGTGCAATAATTTATGTAATTTTAAATTCAGCAAACCTTTATTTCGGTGTTACTTTAACAGCAAATACTATTCTGTAACATGTCCAAAAATATATATTACAGAAAACTAATAATAACTTTAAAAAGTTTTCAATATTTTAGTTTTGAAGCCATACAACATGTTAATTCTTTTGGCAAAATTATTGTAATCCAAAATTCCTGTTATGAAAATTAATAAATTACTGAAGTGAAAAAATACACTGTAGAAAAAAAAAATTTTAAATTAATTTGAGTGTAATTTTGTTATAAAATTGTTAAAAACTTTAAAAAAATGTCCAAGTTAATTTCAAAACCATTTTATTAAGATTGTGATTCCATATTGAAATTAATGATAGGGAAATTTCCATAAACAATTATTTTATTTTAGAGCCCTGGCAGACTACAGAGTATCCGTTATTTGCTGTTGGGTCGTGGAATTGTTTCGCCCTGGTGGAAAGATAAATTGCTACGCATTGGAATATTTACCACAGTTCTCACTTTATCGGTTTATTTAAGATGCAGGCTAATAGGTCCACGTCTCCCAGTGTTTAATAGGTAAATATCTGTGTTTTTTGTTTTTTCATGCTAAGGTAAATAAAGCATCGTACAAAAAGCAATTACATCGTTGTACTATTAGTTATATGTGATACAGTAAATGGCCGAAATGAAGAAAACGTCGATTTTCACCGGTAAATGCCAGTAATCACATAGTCGCTTTGGAGAATGTCCGAAATATTTATTATATCCGATTTGATATTAATTTATTCGTTGATATTATTATATTTATTCGATATTTTAATATCAGCTGAGGGTAGATTAGGAGAAACACCAGTGTTCGGAGTATCGGTTAAATGCATTCTGTGGCAGGGGAGCTTGACATAAAAAAACGTTGATGTAGAGCATACCGGGCAAATATATAACGGGCAGTGGCACTTAAGTATAACTAATATATATTGTGGATATTTACCAAAGAGACTATGTGATAATTAACATTCACCGATGGAACTTAACAACCACCAATTTCGGTCATTCACATAAACATATGCATTAAAAATATCGAAAACAGTACATTTTTAGTAAATTTTCTATAATAAACAAACAGTAAAGTATCAGTTTTCAACATAAACAAACAGTAAACTTTAAGACTTTTTTTAAAATAGCAAGGGCGAAAGTGTGTAGAATTCTTACTCTTCAGAAAATGTGTCGCCAAGTACAATATGTCCAAATAAAATGCAAAACGAGGAAATAGCTCTATGGTTAACAGATAAATCTGTCGCCAAGGGCATTTGGGACCGGAGAGCAATTGCGTGTGCAATATTTATGAGTTCGGAAAGATTCCGTTGGTTTCAGAAAGGAGGCCCATTGTCCATCGGCTGAGTCAACATGTCTTTCCTTAAATTTCTTAAAGATCACCGATACTTCCAAAGACTTGGAGCCTGCTTTTTTTTTTCTATTGGGATATTAAAAATAAGTTGCACATGCAGATTGCCCAACTCCCGTGCCGAATTAAATTTGAATAATATGTCAAAAAGTCACAAATGTTGGTTAATTTTTTCTATAATCTTGTTAAGCATCCTAATTTCTTAACTGAAAAACCACGAGTTTCTTGTAATGAAAAACCATGAGTTTCTTGTACAATGTTTCTTGTAATTTTTGCTCAAAAATATTTCTTTTCTCATTTGTCAATGTTTTGATTTTCTGAGTTGCATTTTATTTGGAACATAATGTATGTCTGTATTAAGTCCGGAATTAAATAGTTGGGATTAAATTATTGGAATTAAATCAAATAATACTATTAAATATTGCGAATCATATTTTTATGATGTACAAATTCTACATAGTAATTCGTATTTTGGTATTCACACAACTCAAAAATTCAGCTTCGCGAATTTTAATCACGAGATTTACAAATCACGCATGACGATATATGAACAGACGATTAATATTATAATCTATGGTTGAGCATACAGATTTTAGGAGGGTGCGAAATGTGCTTAAAAGATTTAAAAAGACGCAAATTACTTCATCAGATATGTTTGATGGTAAGAGTGCATGCCAGATTACCAACTTTGGACGGATACGGCGATAGAAATCATAGTTCTTCACTATACGAAATGAAACACACTAGTGAGTCTGACCACGCTTATTTGTTAGTTTTTTGTTTCCATTTATAGAAAATACAAAATGATAGGCGAACTTTTCAAGATTGTTATATTTTGAAATCAAAATAAAATATTTCACATAAAACGCTAGAGAAGTGCCTCATACATAATAAAATTAAATAAAGCTTAACTTACATGGTTAACTTAATGGTTAATTTATAAATACACTGAAATCTGTTAATTTGACTATCTACCAAAGTAGAACTTCATGGTTATAAATAAAACTGCCAAAGAAGAACCAAATATTCTTATCTTTATAAATTGACCACTTCTTTCAGTTAACCATAAAACAATTCTTTCTCTGGTGTTTAATTTACAATTTCTAAAGATCAGCCAGGAGCCAATTTTCAATCACTAGAGATGAACACGATTTACATTTGGCATATTGTCTGATGTCATTCTTAGTCAGTTGATTTTATAACATCTAAAAACTAACATGTCTCCAAACAAACTATTAATTAGAATTATTATATTACTTTCTGCTTAATTTATATTTATTTTTATTTTTCTGTAGATTTGATAATCCTTCAGCTGTATCTGAATTCCCAACCAGACACATGACTTACAATTATTTGATAGCAGTGAATTCTTGGCTTCTTTTGTTTCCACACTACCTATGTTGCGATTGGACCATGTCTACCATCCCTCTTATCACAACTATTTTTGATGTTCGAAACATGGCTACCATTACCGTCTATTTCGTTTTCTGGCGAATTTTCAAGTCTATTTACAAATCAGAAGACGAAATTAGATTAGCAACGTTAATGGTAATTACGATTTTACGTTGATACCTTCTTAACTGATTATAACCAAATATCGAATTTCCAGCAAATTCTGAATAGTTACCGTGCTGAAAACGATGAATAAGTATCTATTTCATTCCTCCAAAAAATATTGAACGTTCCTCTGTGATATTCAGTGGTAAACTAATGGATAGAAAAATAATGGATTAAGTACGGATAGAAAAGTAATGGTTCTTGGTTTAAGTAAATTCCATGCAGTCTTTCTCAAAGGTAATCGCTCAAAAGGCATTTCAGATCTTAAGTATTTCTTTTCTTGGCCATAAACACAGGAACATTTATCAGATTAGAAATAAAAAACTATCATAAAGAGAACGTATAAATCAAATGCATATTAAATGAAATGAATATTACGTATTATAAATCTGAAATTATTTTAAATATATAATCCATTTAAAAGGGAAAATTCGAGCTTAAAATTAAGAAACCTAGAAGCCAGAGATATTTAAAATTATGAAACATGTTCTTTGAAAAGCTTTAAAGTCTGGAATTTAAAACTTCAAAATTAGTTCACATCTTGCAACAGGTGGCATTTGTCACTGTACATTTAAGAGAATTTATAGCATACAAAAACGAAATTGAAGAAAATATTTCAATTAAAAATAGAAAAAACGTAAATTACGTTGTAAGGAAACTTAACGTAAGGAATTGTAAGGAACGCAAATTATGTTGTAAGGAAGCGTAACGTAAGTAATTATAAGAAACGTAAGTTATGTTGTAAGGAAGTGTAACGTAAGGAATTGTAAGGAACGTAAGTTATGTTGTAAGGAAGCGTAACGTAAGGAATTGTAAGGAACGTAAGCTATGTTGTAAGGAATCGTAACATAATGAATTGTAAGGAACGTAAGTTATGTTGTAAGCAATTTTCCAAATATTTAATTCTTTTCAATTCTTTTAATGTTGTCTTCGTTTTAGATTCATGGCACTACTGAAAGCGCAGAGCTACCTAAAAATTATTGTGAATAAAATTTCATCCAAAAAACAAATTTATTTTGTTACAAATTTTAAAATTCTTTTTTCCTTACTTTATTTCAGGGTATGTCTATGACGATAATCCCTTTCATACCAGCAAGCAATTTGTTTTTCTCAGTTGGTTTCGTCGTGGCCGAAAGAGTACTGTATATACCAAGTATGGGATTCTGTATGCTGGTAGCACAAGGATGGGAATTACTATTCCAAAAAAGGTACAAGTTTTGTTGTTGAAAATTTTAGTACGTAGTCCTGTATAGATTAGTGATAAAAGCGAGAACTTCGTCCTAAGACTCAAACTTCGAGCAGTTTTCTTAATTTAACAATTACATCTATATTTCCTAGATTGTCTCGTATAGATTAGTGATAAAAGCAAGAACATCGTTTTAAGACTCAAACTTTGAACCGTTTTCTTAATTTAACAATTGCATCTATATTTCCTAGATTACAAGTGCCTGCAAATCTTGCAATAAGGGGTGTTTAGTTATATTAAGGGCACTATAGTGTCTGAGTTTGTAGCAATTATCATTTGCCCTAACTAATTAGCAGATGTAAGGTAATCTCTTCATAAAAGCAATGTTTATCTTCAAGCACATAATATGATTATTACAGAGCGAATTGTTATTTAGGGTAACGCTTTATAGTTTGAGCTCAGTCCACATCAAAACTGCATCTTACTTACTATCTTGAATTCTTTGTACATAATTACTTTCTACGCTAGAAGATTTGAAAAATGTTTTTTCTACCTCAAATGGATTTTAGGAGTTTTCACCTTTTTCTATAAAAAAATGCCTAATATTTAGTTTTGTGCGATACGCAATGCTTAATTATTACAGAACACGACTTTTTTCGGAGAAGTATGCACTCACACAAAATCTATCTGCCCAATTATTAGTAAATTGCCCAATATTTAGAAATAAATTAATCTAAAATATTTATAAGTAATACTATATATGACCCAAGAATAAATATCTCTATAATTTTTTCAGCTAATCATAATTTTATTCTAGAAAAAATCAAATTTGATTAATGAGACCTCCATTTATCTCCTTGATAATATAAGTTCAAGACGGGCAAAGGCAAAAAAAAATTATTTTAATTTTTTTATTGAAATTTATTATTAATTTCATAATAATAATAGTAATAAATTCCAAAAGCCTTTCATAAAATAATTTCTGAAATTGCTACAATGAAATTTCTATGGATGTAAGGTTACCAAAACTTAACACCGGCAATGCTTGTTAAAACAAATAGGAAAAAAACAATTTGCTCGCAAATTTTTTGCCATCTAAGAAACTAGTCGCAACAGTGCACTTCATGAATTAAACATAAGTCAGTGTACTATACAATCTGTTTAGGTAAAGAAAAAAACTTCGAATCACTAAAAGGTAATCGAAAATGTTGTCTCAGATTGTTATTGTCAGAATATTACACTGTATTGTTTAAAAGAATTAATGAATATTTTAATAAATTATTCTTAAAAATGTTTATGAGTTCTCAAACTTATTTTTGAGTCTCTCTCTACCACTACAAAATAATAATTTAAGCAACACTGATTTACATAGTGAATTGACTTTGAAGAATTGTAGACATATAAATAAGTAGCTAGTAGGTTAATTGTATTAATTATAAACCAGATATGACTTTCAACCTAAATTAAATATAATGCTTATTACGTCATTAAAATATATATTTTGCCGTAACATATTAATTCCTAAATTATGATTTTTATCAATATATTTTAAGTTTTTCATTCAAATCTTAAATCCAAACTTGTTTTATGCTTATAATATGTTGATTGATGACAAATCGCTATTACGACAAACTTTCTTGCCTTTACTTCATTATAAAAAAACTTTCTATTTAAAATTCTGTCTAATACCGCATGTTTTTTATTATTGGCCGGATAAATTTTTATGAACTTTTGGAAGTCGGAAGTCAGCTAATAATCGGATACGTTAACATATTCTACAAATATACTTTTCCATTTTTCGCTAAATATCATGCAACGGCACTTACTAAACGAATAAATATATAAAATAACAGTTGGAAATAAAGCGCCTAAAAATAACAATTAAAAAAGGAAACATAAAAAAAACAATAAGGAAAGAATTTCTTTTTTTAAAAAAAGAAGATTTTATTTTACCACTCTTTTTTTCACATAAAATAGTTAACGAACCAAAAATCAAAGCGTGGTTGCTTCAGATTTCAAATAGCTTTCGCTGTAAGCATCGGATTTAACATCTGAAGCAAAGTTGAACTGCTGATGACTTCAATCTGGACTAGTAAGTTGAAAGGCAAAAGAAGAAAGCGGGGAAGTAGAAGTAGGAAGAAAAGAATTGGGACTTTCCAATTGTTTTTAATTTCTGAACAGAGGTAAACAAATAAAATTAAGATAGCTGGAATGCTCCAAAGGGAAATTAAAAGCTACCCTCACCGATAGCATATTTTACTCTTTTACGTCGACTTATACATGAGTTTGGAATTGAGTAAAGTTTCAAAGAAAAGCGGATTGGCTTATATTTGGAAACATACAACTTAAATCATTCCACAAAAATTAATCTTAAATTTTCATGAGTTAAACAAAAAAATCTAAATATTTGTTTTGACCGATTATTATGCAATTGTATCTTTATATACACCCATACCCTCCAACTTATGAAGATTTTGAAAATAATTCTTTCTAGTGGTAGCGAACCAAAGTAGAAATTTTTGAAGCAAATGGATCTCTCATAAAACTTTTATCAGAACTTAAGAATCTAGCCATATGGCCTGCACTTTTATAAGTAATAGTGGAGAAGTTATGCTAAAATTAATTTTTTTTAAATATTAAGACATTAATTTTGCTACCGTCTGAAAAGAAGATTTCTGAAACTACGGAAATTCCGTAGCAGTTGGAGGGTATGTACACCGAAGAGCCATTACATTATGACCACCCTGCTAATAACATGTAGGACCATCCTTAGCCCTCAAAACTGCTTGCACCCGCCGTAGCATTGATTCCACAAGGTGTTGATAGATAGTCTGAGGTATCTGGTACCAAGCGCTCACCAACTGGTCCTGCAATTCCCCCAGATTGCGAGAGGGTAGCGTGGCAGCACGAATTTGGTTTTCCAAGTAGGATCACAAATGCTCTATTGGATTAAGGTCAGGTGAATTTGGGGGCCAAGAACATGACTTGAAAGTCACTGGAATGTTCCTCGAACCAATCCATGACGATTCGATCCTTATGACAAGGTGCATTATCCTGTTGGTAAACACCATCCCTCGCAGGAGAAACTGTTGCCATGAATGGGTGAATCTGGTCTGCAACTAGGTTCAAGTAGCTTACAGATGTCAGAGATTGTTCTATGTGGATTATGGGTCCTAATGTGCCCCATGAAAACATTGTCCCTGGGCGAGAAACCATGAAAACATGGGCGAGCCCATTGTTATAGATGGAGGATGGTCATAATGTAATGGCCCTTCTGTGTAATTATATTGCTTACTCGTTTACGAGACCGTTGCCTTTCCTTCTGTCTTTTTTTCTATTAAATTATTTACTTCTTTGTAAAGAAGCAAATGATCTTTTCTCAAATAAAAAATATCATCGATTCCAATTCCAATAATTATTGTACCTAAAATATTTCACTTATTTGAAATAAAAAAATCGAATTATCTTTAAATAGGAACAAAATACAAGTAATTGTTAATTCAATTAAAATCAGAAGATCACATAGAAATTAGGCTTTTTTTTCTTAAATTACAGATCTTATCGTCCTTTCGCAATTATTGGCATCGTCTTAGTAATAGTCACTGGAATCTGCAAAACAATCATTAGAAACTCGGACTGGTAAGTGATTTATTCTATGTTTAACTATTCATATATTCTGATTCCTGCAATCCAACAATTCTATTTTGTTTTGATAACCTACCTGTTCAAGTGCTAAAAAACTGCTAAAAACGGAATTAATAGGGGAATAGCTGGAAATTGCATTGAAAGTTTAAACTCCGGTTCTAAACAGAAACCTGACGTTTGGCCTTTCCCGAAAATAAACTTTTACTGCCACGTTGCATTTAAGGGAAAAGGATTCAAAATGGGAATAAACTTGAAATTTTCTATACAGAGCAGTTATGTATTATTTCCTGTCTATTTTTTAACGTTGAATCGAAAGAGACCATAACTAAGTCCATTGGGATAGTTTTTGACTAATACCTAATTGAAATATACAATATTGTCCCCCTTTTTTCGTATTATAACAAATTCAACCCTATTACAGCAACCACTTTTAAGTCATTTCTTATTTCATAAATTTCCTTCAAAAATGTTTCTGAAACTGCTTTTAATATAAGAACTATTTTCCTTCTTAGCTCAGAATCCACTATTTAAACATGTAATGATTTTTAATCAAGAGTGTTTTACTTTAGAAAATACTATAAATTTGAAACAACCCACCTTATTTCAAGATCCACTAATGGACCATGTTGTCAAACTCCCTTTACTGTAAATCAAAATGACATTTTTTCTCAACTTATTTTCCTTCGAAAGCAAACATTTTCTCACTTTGTCACAAATAGAGGCTTTTCCACGTTTCCAATCCAATTAACATTCCTATTTTCGTTCGTTGTCTTAATTTTATTTTCTTCATTTTTTTTCTTATTATTGTTCTTATGATTGTATTTAGCTTCACTCTATATTTTATGCCTTACATTATTATTTTCTTCATTATTTGTTTTAACAGTATTTAGCTTACCTTTATCCAATTTCAATCTTATATTATGGCACCTCAATTAGATCCGTAACATTGAATGGGAATTTTATTGCCATAACTTTATAAGAACAACCATAAATTAGCCTCGGAGTCCAATAACCACCAAAAATAAACGAGCATAATATCATACTAAATCCAAATCTATTGCAGAAAATCACAAAGTAATGCTTCGTAATCCTTTTAAGGTCGTTTCGAATTTTATAAATTGCCTTCAACAAATTTTCCAAAAACTGCTCTTGTGTAAGAATTATTTTCTTTCTTAGCCCCAGAATGGACTATTTAGGCATGTGATGTCTTCTATCACGAATGTCTTATTTCAGAAAATACTATAAATGTGAAACAACCCACCTCATTCCAAGATCTACTTATGGACCATGTTGCCAAACTCCCATTGCTGTAAATCAAAATGAATTTTTTTTTCCACCTTGTTTTCCCTTCGACGGCAAAAGTCTTTCACACTTTGTCACGAAGCGAAGGTTAGTAGTACTTGGAAGGTAATTACAGGTATTCACGCAAGAACTGTCGCTCTTAAATTACGTAATGTCGCACAATATTATGGAATATTTTAAGCAAAGAAGGCATATTTTTTTTTCTTCTCTTTCACGCTTTTTTTGGTTGAAAGTCTTTAATAAATTGTTTCCGTGACTTGTTGCCATTTATAAAAGGAAAAGAAATGTTTTCTGATGATTAGTTTTTTCCTCCCTCATTTCAATTTAAATGAAATAAAAAAAATATATATATATATCGTATAAAAATGTTGTATAAGTGCATTGAATACAGGTATGTTATTAAAATAGTATTAAGACCTATGCTACGTTAAGAGACATATGAGAAGTTATAGTTATAATCCAGCGAAATTAATTTCTTTAAGCTAATTGTTTTAATTATTTTGACTTTGATATTTGGAATAAAACATTTTTTTTACCTCGTTTTAAATATTGGTAAACACGAAAATGCTTCTTTATTAATTTCAACTATGAAGAAAAGGTTCGTCGATTGAAGATGTTGATTGATTTTTTTTTAATTGTCCACTATTCTATTCTAGAGTGATGTAAATAAGGAATTATATATTAAACATCTAATGATCTAATTAAAAAGATTACGATCTTATGATCTATTAAAAGGGGCCGGATAGGCCTGGTTGGCATGGCGTTGAGCCTATGTCTAAGAAGTGGCAAGTTCGATCCCCGTCTGCAGAAGACTCCGTGTAGTAAATGATTACTAGTACACGTTAAATCCGTCGGGTCACAAAGTACTCCATTCTCCCACAACAAATCATACCTCCGGGGGTACTGATTTGAGGATAGATAGTTCCCTAATTCAGGTCTAAATTACGATCTGTGGATGAATGAATGGATGTATGAATGGATTCACCCTATAAACGGGTTGAGGCTCATGTGTGTGGCAGAAGTCAAATTCTTGGCCATAGATGGTGCCACTGGGAAACGAGAAGAAGCATACCCCCTTTACCTTAATGGCATACGACAAAAGCAACATCTAATAAAATTTTAGTTTTTAATTCAATTACTTTCATTACTTTAAGTTTCACTTCTTTAAACACTTCAAAATTCATGGAAAAAAACTAAATTTTTTAACAATTTCTCTCCACAATTGTAGAAAATGACTATTTTTTCAAAAACTTCAAAATAGTTTATTCAGTTATTTATAAGTGAACTTAGCAAACTTATAAGTGTAAAAGACAGGAAAAAGACATGTTTTTCAAGACTAATAAAATAAAGCACGTATATTATAAATAATGACTATTACCTTTATTTGATAAAATATTTTCTTTGGTTTATGTATTTTCCAAATAATCTGTTTCTATGATTAAATTATCATAATTTACTAAACACTCACTTAAAATATGATTTAAAACTTTCCAAATTGTTAAGAACTATTTTTCTCTACTAATTTGACTATTTTTTTTAAAAAATTTAATTTAAAATGTCCTTTACAATGTTAAATGACTGACTTTGCAAAAGCTACTTTAAAAATAGGGCCGTGTAGTAATGTCGCTATTAGTAAAAACAAAGGGTTTTTTAGACAATATTTTAGAAAATATAGAGAAAGCACGAGATTGCCCTTTCTGTAGAGAAAGTAATAGAAATAAACTTACCCAATAAAAAAAAATTTAATTATTTTGTTACTTAATAACCATTTGATAAACTATTTCTTGTGAAATCTCTGATTACACTTAGAATTTTAAACAAAATAATACCAACGTGTCTATTTTAGATATAAAATTTCCGCAATAAAAAAAAAAGAAAACTCCTCTAGGTTTTTCTTAATTGCATTTATAGACTTTTAAACAACTTCCAACTTAATTATACAGAAAATTATTAAAAATCACATGTGAAGAAAAAGAAGTGTTGCTGCTTTTTACGCGTTTTTTTCATCTAAGACGAAGAAAATCAAGAACGTTATTTTTCTCATACCTTCAAACCAGTTTTGCAAAATTACGCAGAAATCAACTTCATTTTTCTATCTTAAAAATTAAAAAATCCATACTTCCAATTGTCGCAAAACTAAAAATCTTTATATCTTAATATTTAAATTAAAAATTAATCTCCTTTTGTTTTAAGTTAAAATTCAACTTCATCCTTTTACTTTTCATGAATATCTTCGCTTCTCTTTAATAAAACCATTATTTTAATGCCCCCTTGTATTTCGCAAAACTTTTTACCACTTTTTTTGAATAATAAACACAACTTTTTTTTCTTTACTATTTTCTATGTTATTTTTATTATTTTAATTGAAATTAAAATTTAGTTTCATCATTCTGTTACAACGAATTTTTTTTCTTCTTCTAATCTGCACAAAGTCTTAAATTTATACTCTTCTAACTATTACACTTTTAACTATACAACTTCAGACTACTATTTAAATTTTATCTTCTAATTTAAAAAAATAAAAACAAATTAAACTTCTTAGTAGATTCCACTTGCTTTGTACATTTTATAATTATTCCTCCAATCTTTAATAAAAACTTCAGAAACATCAAATTACCAATATCCTCAGCGGTTTAAGTCATATTTTAGAATTCCAAACAATAAAGAAAAAAGTCTTTTAAATAAAAACTCCTCTTCACACAAACAGCCGCAAGGACTTCTTTAATTACACAGCAGCATTTTTAAACAACTCCAAAACTTTATTACCCAGAGAGTTACCATAAAGTGTATCAGAAGAAAATCATCCTACTTTCTTTGAAGTATTGTTGCTTTTCTCGCCTTTTCTGCATCAAAGAAAAGCAAAAATCACAAACATTATTTCTCTCCTTGTCCCCAAACCGCAGTCGTGTAAGAAAGAGATAAGTATATCTCCCTTGTGTAACCTCCCATTCCAGGTAAGATATAAAAGACAGGAAAACAAGAAAAATGCCCCTTTCACATCTTTTAAGTGAATGAACCCTAAATCATAATGAATTCCTAAATGGTAGTTTTCTTGTGGTTTGTTTTGGGTTGGAAAAGCTAAATGAAAGCCATTTTTCTTCCCTTGACCAAGATAACTGCAAGCGCTCGAAGAAATATAGCGTTAATGGAAAAGAAGTAATTATTTCGAAGTAATTCTATCCCGGGTGTGTAAGGAAGTATTTTTCTGGTTGTTGTGAAAGGAAAGCATTCTTTAAATTAAGTTTTTACTTTTTTTTCACAAGACGTGAGTCTTGATTTTAATTAAATTTTTGAATTCACACCAAGTTTTAATATTTAATTTCAATAATATTTATAGTATTTAGAAAATTCTTTGGGGAAATAATAAATGTAATTTGTTCCTCTAAATGTAACTTTTACTTCATGCATTATTTATTTTTATATTTGATTGGTATTTGTGCTGCCTTTAATAAGAAATATTATTTGGAGAAATTTTAAAAAAAAACCTTTTAGACGTCAGCCGTTATCGAAAAATAAATCTTTATAAACTTAATAATTGAATTAAATAATTTTTAAATTAATTTTGCAACTTATGCCTACTTACTATTTCTATACTGGCCCAATATTTATCTGCTTAAATATCATAAAATAATGATTATAGCATCTCAATATACGAGTCATCGTATACTGTAAGAAACTTGCAGATTTGTTATGTTACTACTACTAATGTTCAATTCCGACTACTAATGACGACTACTAATGTTCAATTCCGTAACCTTGTAATTTTTGAACCAATCCAGAAGAAGGAAACTCCTGGATCAGTACCCCCAGAGGTATTGATTTGCTGTGGGAACATGGAGGACTTTGCGACTTGACAGAATGAACGTGCATCAGTCACCATTTACTACACGGGGAGTTTTCGGCCGGCAAGGATAGAACCCACAAACTCTTGGACATGGGTCCAGTCAACACCTCCTAGATAAGAGCAGGCCTCAGTACGGGTTACCATAAATATCCTTTAGTAGTCCAAACGTAATGACATATTTCTTATTTTCAACCACTACGCAGCTTAGTACCCCTAACAAAATGACATCTTTCTTATTTTTTATCTACTGCGCAGTTAACTTCATTAGATCGGACTACTAAATTGATCCAAGCTGAGGCCTTCCTTCTTCTAGGAGGTGTTGGTCCAGTACCCTACCAACCAGGCTATCCCGGCCCTATAAGGACTTATTGCTTTTTCATGAGCAATACTTACAATATCACCGGTATCGCGTCAATTCGTCGCTCACAATTCGCTGCAAGCCCCAGTTCGTCGAAGGCACAATTCGTTGCAAGCACAGTTCGTTGAAGGCCCAATACGCCGATAGTACAGTTCGTATAGAGCACAATTTATCTTAGTTTCAACACGCCGGCGAGCTCAATTCATCTCAAGCACAATTTCTTACGGCTACGATGTTATACATCTATTTAGGAAGACAAAATTCTCGCATTGTCTACAAAAGCAAATTAAATATTTAATTTGTTGGCATTCAAAAGTTATGAAAGCACCTAAAAAGGGAAGGTTTTGAATTTTGTTTATTGTTACTTATAAATGGAAGGAGGCGTATGAGTAATGCTAAAGAAAGACATTCCATAGCGCCAAATTCATAAATTTCAGGAAAAAGATATATATTGGTTATAACATATTTTTTTAATTTGCATTTCTCTTGGCTAAGCAAATTATTTGTATTCGTCGTAACATATTTATCATAAGAAATATTATATTCTTGCATCTCCCTAGTTGTTAAAAATATTCTAGATTGTCCAAATTTAATTTTTTAACCTTAGTAATTTAATTTATTATTTAATTCCAGATTCTGTCGTTATTTTTTTAATCAAAAAAGATAATGTTACAAAATTTAGCTATCACATGTGAAAATTAAAGATTTATACAACAAACACTATGGGTGCTCATCGCAGAAACAGGAGCTTTTTAGGATATGATTATTGGCATGCGTGCATCATCTCTGCTCATGTTAATGTTAATGTATAAAGATTCACCTCCCGTATGCATCATGCTTCTCGCTCCCTCAGCCATTCGCAGCCTTAACGTTTTGATTTGTTGCTAAAAGAGAAGTTTTTTAAGGTTACTAGTCAACTGTTTGTTTCCAAATACATACTTACAGATAGTCTAATTTTTCCTTCATTTACCAAAACCTGTAAAATTTATAAGACCTTGGGATAAATAAATGGGCATAGTTTATTTCTAAAATAAGATTTTTCTGAAGGAAATTTAATATTTCAACCACTAGTCTCTGCAATTTTGAACAGGTTTCATTAAAATTGAAGAAAATATTAAAGAAATAAGTGCATTTTAATGGTCCTCATTTGCTGTTTTATAGGCAAACTGAATACACACTATATAAATCATCTCTTGCCGTAAACCAGAGAAATGGCAAACTTTACAACAATATGGGTCAAGTATTAGAATCAATGAACAGACATGAAGAAGCTCTACAGCATTATGAAACAGCTAAAAGGTGATATTTTAACTTCAGTGTCTATAAATTTTCAGATTTTTGATTCAACAATAATAAAAATCATCTTCTCGAATCTTCTATAGTTAAAAAAAATTGCTTAAGTTTACAAAACAGTAAAACTGCTACCTTCCCTTTGAAAAGATATAAAAAAAATATGTAATTATAAAGCTAAATTACCATCAAAAATACTATTGCAGCTGATGATACTGAATTAAGGTAAAAAAAACGCTTATTGGAAATGTAAAACAAGATTTTAATTTAATAATAAATGTCAAAAAAAAAATTTTTTAATAAAACTTCACCATAAATCTAAAAAAGATTCTCTCCAAATAATTGCATTTTTTATCATAAAATAAAAATCTAAACTTACAGTTTCTTATTTTAAAAAAAAGGGGGCTACTCTGTGCTATACAAAACAGCTATTACGTGCTTGATGAAACGCAATCAAACATAACTGTAAACTAAATCTAAAACAAAAGCTATTGAGTACTGTATGTAACAAGATCAAACAATTATATAAACTATATCTGAAGCAAAAATGAATAAAGGAAAGGCCACTAGGTAAACTAGGAGTTGTGAAAGTCTTATTTGCACAAATAAATAAAACTTTCAGACAAAAATATATTTACAAATATATATATATATCCTTTCCAGTAAACTTATTTGCGTGAATAACAATTTAAAAATAAAAATAAATTAAACAATTTTGAGTTGCAGTATTTACTTCAACTTACCTTATAATAAAGTTTCTTAAAAGAAATTTAAATAGTTGAAGAGTATTTCGAATTTTTTGTCTAATATAATTTCTCGTTTAAGAAAATTTTCAATTTCCCATTCAAGTAATTGGAACGGACATAATTTTTTTCGTATTATTTTTTTGAGCAAATATATCATTACGAAACTATGCAAAATTACGCTGATTAGTTTCAACGTGTTTTATTTTTACGCAGAATCGAACCTGATGACATCAGAAGTTATTTAAATATTGGACGAGTGCTCACAAATCTACATCGATATCGTGAAGCAGAAGAAATCTATCGTAAAGTAAGTAAAAAGGAAAATTAAAGTATTTACTTCAAAACGTAATTATATTTGTGTACTAAATAAAATGTGATGAAATGACTTTTATGTATAAATTTTTCACGTGCTCTTATTTATGGATTATTCATATGAGGTATGTAATTTGCATGTAGGCTGCAAAGTGTTTTAAGGTAATCGTGCTAAACTTTGATAATCGTGAGCTGTTAACATGCAATGAAAAGGATTTATGGGTTTCTTTTCAATGGAGATCTACAGATGATTTTTGAGAAAACATTTTTTATGATTAATGCATTTATTTGTTGATCGAAATGTTTTTCAACCTATCAAGGAAAAGTATACAAAAATTTCACTGTAAAAATTCTGAATGAAATAACGGTATAAATTACCGGCAATTTGGGTGCATCATCCGTAAAATCCATTTTTGCTGCAAAATATTACATCGTAACTTTTACATTAATTTTTATTTAATATGAGTGATTCCGTGATTTTACGGTAATATAACAATGAAAATTAAGGTGTAACAGATTTCTTGTTCCGTAACATGTTTCGTTAAAAATTGATTTTAAGGTAAGAGTACAGGCACTCAGTGTGTCAGTACTTTTTACAGTAATTTAATCTGGAATTGTTACAGCGTGCTTGTAAAAAAACAAGAAAAGTTTTGTACATAAATATTCTTTAGATTACCGTATTCATAAATTTTAGCATTATGATATCAAAATTTTTTTATAGTTTTAGTTTTGGAAATATTTGTTTTTTTTGCTAAGTTTTTATTAAATTACTTAAAATTTATAACTGAACTCCCTCTAATCTAAAAATAATTTATTCGCGCTGAATAGAGAAAGAGTATAATGTTCCAAAGAATATTAGACGCATCAGTTGTCAAACAGATAAACAAATTTGAACTCACTAATTGCATTTTCGCGTGTTTCAAAAGAAACTTCTAACGTCGTTCACCAAAATATGCATTTTAATAGCAAATATATCCAAAATTAAGACGAATTAGATCATATTTTTTCATACATAATACTTTTATAGTCTAAGTAAATATTTAAATGTGATACAGTGAGGCAAAAAATGCATATATCCTGCAGTAAAGAAGGGAATTTATCATAGGATATGTTCTAAAACATGACAGATACTATTTCACTTATGGCGTTATTGGTGTAGTGCAGGAAAACCACCGCCAAGTCCGAGTGCAAAGTAGAGTACGTATACATCTGTTTTGATAAAAACTTTCACGCAATGCACTTGTATTTCTTTTTTTAATCCTTTAATTTTTCTTTAAAATAATTTAATTTAGCTAACTTTATAGTTTTTTTTATTATAATTTATTTTGAATATTAAAACTTACTTTTTATAATTTATTTTAAATATTAAAACTTACTTTTTATAATTTATTTTAAATATTAAAACTTACTTTTTATAATTTATTTTAAATATTAAAACTTACTTTTTATAATTTATTTTAAATATTAAAACTTACTTTTTATAATTTATTTTAAATATTAAAACTTACTTTTTATAATTTATTTTAAATATTAAAACTTACTTTTTATAATTTATTTTAAATATTAAAACTTACTTTTTATAATTTATTTTAAATATTAAAAATTACTTTTTTTAATTTATTTTAAGTTTTAAAACTTACTTTTTATAATTTATTTTTATTTCACATTAATTCTATTAATGAATATTCATAATTTGCAATAAAAAATACAAATCTGTTTCAGTTAATGGAAAATTAAGAGTTCCTTCTTCTCCACTCATTTACTAAAGTACAATTGTTATTTATACATGTTTTCAAATTTTATTTCCTTATTTCAATCGTTATCAAAAGAGGGAATGGAAACAAAATCGGCAGAAAAATATTGCAGATTGCCCACTAAGTCGTTCTAGATAGCTGTCAATTTTTTTTTAAATCAGCATTTTTCTCTCCCATCTTTAAATAATGCAAGTCATTTCTTACGCTCAACACACAGCGCATGTGCCGGTAAGGAATGACAGAGAAACTTTTCCACCTTACTTCCAGCGCTGGCATGGTGCCAAAATTTTCTACAAACTTTAGATGCCTCTTCTGTTCCATGCTATAAAATATTTGAAGTAATATCATATAGAAGCTTCAGATCTACGTATTAAATTTTCCTTTTGGTTATTTTAGGCACAATCTTTAATGCCTCATTTGGAGCCCAATTCAGAAGAAACATACGTAACACCAAGCCACTTGCAACTGTTTCTCAGTTTAGCATTTCTTATATCACAAAATAACAGTCGTATTATGGAAGCAGATGAAGTAAGTGTGCTCGTAACATTTAACAAGATGAAATTAAATTATGTTTGAGGTGTATCAATCTAAGTCAATTGGTCTCATTTTTGACGTGATAGGTTATAAATCTAAATTAATTATAACATTCTTTAATTGGTTTGCAAATCATTAGTGACAGTTCGTTAAGTAAAATTATCAACTATGTAGCAATAATTTATCACAAGTATACATCATTACACATTATCAATCATATTTCATATCAATGTCAATTACATTATCAATAATTATCCATAAGTTTATATTTCAAAATCTGATTAGGTATTTACAATTTAGTTTACTTAGTTACAGTACAAAAACGTTCTATTGACATAAACTTGACATTGTGAACAAGTTTCGATCCATAATAATTGAACACAAACACATATTACCGATCATTACCAAAATGCATATCAAATTAAGATCAATTTTCAAGCATTTTGTATTTGTACTTGCACATTGTCAGAAAATTTGAAGCACGTTATACCATATTATTGTATCAATTTGCGGAAACCTTAATATGATAGTATGATGTACCATATTATAATACAAATTTTTAACAAACTGAATATGATGACATGTTATACCTTATTATAGTGCAAATTTGTAGTTTCCTTAATATTGTAGCATAATGTATCATATTATAGTGCAAATTTGTATCAACCTGAATATGGTAGAAAGCTGTTATCGTGCTGTTTCACCAGTTTTAAATTTTATTAACATACTATTGTACAAATTTAACTGATACATGGTTTAATTTGCTAACACTGTAGGCACTATATTACGGTTTAAAGTACGAATAATGGTTCGATGTTAATTATGCTTATTAACCGACTGCTTATTAACCGATTTTTTCGAGTAAGAAGAAACATTAAATTTAATTTTATTATTAAAATTGAAAGTAATGAAAAGAAATAGCGATTCTTTCATCAAAGGTCGAGATTGCAAAAAATCTCAACTTATTAACAATAACTAATTTCAATACACTCTTAAACATATTACCTATTACTTTAGGTTGTTACATTTATTTGTATAGTAGAGTTTACTTTTTTATGATATCGTTATTAAGATGAAAGACAGTTAATTCATAAAATATGTTTTTAAATTCAGGATATTAAAATAAATAATCGTTAAAAGATTTTCACCAAAATTATGGTAATCCGTACTGTAAAAATGTTTGAAAAAATAAATTAAATCCTTTAAGAATTAGTTTTTAAAAAATGCCTTCATTTTTATTATAAAATGCTTATTTGATGTTTTCCCATAAGACGTAGGCTTAATTATACGAAAAAAATTATTTCGATGAGATTAAACAAAAATAGTTATTTCAAAAAATTGTTCTCATTCGTATTTTAGAAGCATTAAAGTTAATTATAAATAAAAAATTCAAGGTTTGCATGAAATATATGTAATTTTAAAAAAAAAACTTTAAAAACGATTAAAAGAGCTTTTTTAAAGAAACACAAATCCCAACGTTCGAAAACTGATTTTAATTTTTTAAATTATGATGTATTTTTATTCAACATTTTCCCTTAAATGCTAATTTTTAAAAAAATAAACTCTCTTTTAATTTGATACTTTTACTTTTTCTTCGTGTTTAATTTTAATTACCTAACAAACTTTCTTAATAAATTATCAAGATAACTTTTCCTTGACCGAAGCTGTTTTTCTTTTCTTTTAGCTGTATAAAGAAGCTCTAAGTTTGAGATCCGATTTCACAAAAGCTTACCTAAGTCGAGGTGACTTCCTACTTAAATTAAATAGGTAAGTTAATTTTAAAATTATTTCCAAACATGCAAAATTTCATACATTTTATGCCCTTAATAAACAGTTCAATAAAGGTTTAATTAGCCTATTTGAGTCTTGCGTTCTTTTAAAAGAAATGTTCCTCTTTTTTTTTAAAAAAAAAAGCTGGTTGCACTAGTATATAATTTTAAGGTTTTAATTTTCAAAAACAAGTTAGTTCTGCATATTTTGAACATTGTTTATATGTTATTGTTATCATAAACAAAATGTAAATGGGGATCACTAGTTTAACACTGTTTTGTGGGAGACGTATTTATCTGCTTTAGACTTTAGATACGTTGCTTTATTGAAACACTTGCCTATAACAGATAGAAATGAGGCATTATTTGTCAATTTTTTTCGAATAAATATAAGCCAATAAAATAGATCTCTTTCATTTTTAAATAAAAATTTCACTCGAATGAATGGCGAAATCTGTTTTAAAATGCGCATTTTCCAAAAGAACATTTTAAACCACTATTTTTAAAGTTTATCCACCATTTAAAAGACTATTTACTTTCGCCAAGAGTGTTTTTTTTCTTCCTCATACCCCGCTAGCTTCCAACTCTCTCTTGCCAGGGATACGTGGCTGACATTTTTACATGCAAAGCTCCATCTACTGTATTTTTCTTTTTAAGAATTTTCTCACTTCCAATGAATGTCACATTCTCATTGTGAAGGATGAAAGAAAGGGTTTCGTTCAGCTGCGTTGTCTTCATTAACCTTTCATGAATTCACCATACAGCATGAAATATTCAGAGGTTTAAAAGAGAAAAAAAGAGAAAAAAAGGTCTCAATTCTGCTAGTCTTGCCATGAATATTCTGAAAGATCGAAAACTTTGGCTTCATTTGATCACATTTTCGATAACAAAAGTATTGCTTGGAGATTCAGTTACGAAAATCCATGCTAAAAACTTACGCTAACATTAAATTCTCCACCTGCTTAATTGTGAACTATTTTTTCAAATTCAATAATTCCACTAAAACTAATTCATTTCAAACAGTAAATTATGGTTTGTTACAGAAAACATAACGTTTTTAGTTTGAATAGTTTATTAAAGCTTAACCGAAAAAAATTAATAAATCTTATTCATATATTTCTGCGACTTTAGTAAAAATTACAAAAAGATTCGTTTTTTTACTGATATCTCTAGTTCTTATCTTAACCTGCCACTATTTTTCAAGCGATTCCCAAGAGTCATGGTGGCTCAGAAGACAGTGATCGCCTTTCAATGAGGTGACCCAGTTCGAATAACAGCAATGGCTGGTCGATACGAAATTCCACAATCAGCTTCCACTGACCACAGTGCTGACGTAAAAATATCCTCAGAGTAATCATCATTGGTTAGAATCCTCTCGCCATCGGGCTGACTGTGGGAGATTTTCATGGTTTTCTTCTCCATGTAATGTCCTCTCCTTCCCGGGTTAGTTCCATCAAAAAATCTTCCACGAAGGCGAATTTCTTCCTTTACTTGATTCAGGAGTTTATTATCCTTATTTATTGGGTTTAAAATTACAAGGCTTCGGAATTTAACCTGGACAATCATAATCTCAGAATTGAGTTGGCTAATCAGCTAGAGTTGTGAAAATGTTAAATAATTTCCAAATGAAAGATGAACTATCGGTCCGAAAGTAAAGATCAATTAATATCATGTTGATCCCCCTTGTGCATCAATAACAGCCAACGTACCACTGGTTAGACTTTTCTCTAGTTTTTGATAATTCGTCATACGTTAGCCCTGGGTCATACGAATTGACTTCCGAGGCGTCGGTCGGAGCAAAAAGAACAAAGTGGACTGTATCGTTTTACAATATTTTATTGCATGTAAAGAATGCTGGGAAGCTAAGCTTGGCTATCTATAATCTCGCCAATTAAAGCCAATAAGGGTGCGGACAGCGTCCATCACAACTGAACTTAGTGCCAGTGGTGAAGATGATCGATTTGGTTGGCTACTTAAATTTATAATTCATTCCAAAGGTTGCTGATAGGGTTTATATCCGGACTTCAAAAAATCCAGTTCAGTTTTTGAGCACCCACTACACCAACCCATAAGTCGCTATGACATCTATATTGCCTTCATCCTTCTGGACGAGAAATAGGCATTTTATGGAACACACCTGAAATATGCCAGATTGTCAGCTTTAGTGTCAGATTTCATGCTTCCATCCACAGAAACTAAGATACCCAGTCCAAACTATAAACAAACCACACCATGCTGTAACGAAGGGTGTCTGAATACAATTACCGAGGAAGTGATGCCTTAAAGGAATTCGTATTAAACTTCAATAACGGTTTAAGAAAAAACTTCTTTTTTTTTGTACAATCCAAGTCTAAACTTTCTAAAAATAATCTATAGATATTACTTTTTTTCATTATTTTCGGCAATATTTTTAACTTGACTGTAAACAAATTAGTGTTTTTTCTTCCATCCTTCAAAAATAATATACATTTCAATTTTTACATAATTGGTTTTCAGACGAATAGTTACGTGCGACCAATAAGGGTGATTGAATAACTATCTTTTCCGCATTATAGTTTACTTTTTTTATGAAACTATCAATAGGCTTAATCATTTCTCCGAATCTACTTCAATATTTATAATTAATTATTAAAAGCAAAGGACTTGGTCTTTAACAAAATAAACTATAAAGGATATCAAGGTATAAAGGCTGAAGGATTGAATAAAACTAAGGGGGAAAAGAGTGATAGAAGCTAGTTCAGAAATGGAACTGCGTTGGTGATTTTGGGGGATGGTGAACGATAGCGAGCAGTGCATTGCATTTTGTACGCGATTAAAAAATATAGAGAAGTAACTTTGGAGTACGTATGCAACACATCCAGCATCTATCATGCTTCTAGATTCTTTAAGTCCTTTTAAATTCGAACGGATGTTCAGAGCTTATCAAATACCAGCGACAGACTGAAATACTACTGATGGTAAAAAGAAATGATCTTATTGATTTATTCACATTCAATATAAATCTAAAGTAAACCATTCAAATTCGATCCATCAATCTTTTCATAATTCAACTTCCATTCGCCGACATTTAGACTTCTGCTGAATATTCGGAGATTTCTTCCATTTAAAAAAATTTTTTTTTTCTTCATCTTTTTCATTCGTAAGTGCTTCTTTTATTTCAGAACTAAAGAAGCTGAAGCTATGTACCACCGAGCTTTGGAATACGAAGACAATAATCCTGATCTCTACTTTAATGTGAGTTTTATTTTCGATTTACCTTTTTAATAATTCTATTTTATTAAATAATCTCGACAAATTTCCTTTTAACTTTTTGTTTCTTTAAAAGATTTCAAAAGATTGCGTTTAAAATTAATCGATACAAATTTATTATATTTGATTAGTTACATTAGATACATTCACGTCTTTGTAAAACTTTAACTTCATAAAAAATGTTTACTTTAAATTTGAGAATGAAGTATCTAATTTATTCAGATTAAATACCGGTAAATTTAAGCATAAAAATAAATATTTACTACTTAGAACATAAGAATGTACATCTGTTTCATTCTGTCTACGATTTAGTTCAAGTAAAATTAATGGCATTATTTGAAAAGAGATTATGTAAATATTAAATAATATGAAAAGTTTTCATTTTCAACAGTAAAAGAATAAAGAAACAATCGCTTTAAAGATATATAACATCCAAAATATTGATACTGACTATCCTTTTATTGAAACATATATAAAGGGTGTTCTGTAAAGGTCGAACTTAATATGCACTTTTAGAATGAAAATGAAAACAAAAAAAGTATACACATAAGTTGCATGTAAATATTTAAGCGTAGAAAACACAAAAACGCTACCAAAACCTGACAAATTACAGTAGAGGACGATGAGTGCAATAAACATCAGGTTCAATTGATGGTTCAAATTTGAAAGTGTTTTTTAATAGTCTTTCAACTCCTATCTCTTTCCGTCATCTATCCTGTCTTATTGCTCTCTTATGTTGTGATTCATCACAAGTCCCCATACATTTTGAAAGCTGCGGGTGGGTGACCCACTTGGATCAGTCTGCGTAGGGATCGAGGGTGTGCGGTATTGGTCCTCGTTAAACTGTGCTACCGTAAAGTGCTCGACTTCGCGCGCAAGTCGTCGGGCTACCGAAGCGGGGGTGCCATCCCTTCCGCAGAGGATCAAAATTGTGATGGCATGTCTTCGGATCATCCTCCGGGATGTTTCCCAGACCGTCGCCAATAGCCCATTGTGCAGCTCTAGTGCGACGTAAATTAACAACAACATTTTGAAAGCATTTTCGTTAATTCTTCGCTTAAATATTAATTTGCAATTCCAAATGTACGAACTTTAGTCTTCATTTGTTATGAGGATTCTGAAAATATATATTAAGGGCGTTCTTTACAGTTTGAATAATAAATTAAGATTAAGAAAGTTTCTCCACTAAAGCTATTTAGCTTTTTATATGTTTTATTTATTTAAATGCAGTTCCTAACTTATTAATTTAAATTTTTTATTAATTTCGTGATAGTTAGTTTTTTATTGGGCTCACGCATTTGTGAATGTTAATTATTTTTTTAAATTGTGTCAAAATACTTAAAAACAATTTTAGAATATTGATGGTTTATCCTTGTATTTTCAAAACAATCATTAACTGATTTATTCTTTAAATTCATTTTGTATTTAACATACGATTTTAACACATACATACGATTTTTTGAGTTTAACATACGGTAGCATATAAAAGTAATAATTTCATAAAATAAAATTCTTAATAACTTTTGCATTTTTGCATTGTCTATTATTACAAGGGAATAAATTTTTTTAATGCAAGGAAATTTGTTTTCAAGATATTAGTTTTTTGTGCGAATAATGAAAAGTTAAATTGAAATGTGATTAAATAAAACAATTATGCACAATATAATGAATTTAGCTAAATATTACAACAAAGTAATTAATCATTTCTATTTTTTAATGCATTTTTCTAGAATAAATACATGATTTAAACATTTTATTTCGGACGCTAAATATATAAGAGTCAGTTATATCAAAACCTAAAAAGTGTCATTGAATGCAATTTGATTCATAAATGAATACAAATTGAATGGAGAAAAATCTTTCAATTAGGAAAATATTTAAGAAACTTTACATTTCGAATAAAAGAATTCTTATTTCGCTTAATAAACAGAAATTTTAAGTTTTTTAAAGAATAGCATTAAAAAGTTATACTAGAATATGAGGAGTTTCATATTGGAAAGCTGCTTTGTGAACAAGATAGAAATATTTTAAAAATCATCAAATACTAAGAAAAAAAAAGGAAATTATCTCTTGCGTCTCTTTTAGAAAACACTATAACAATTTATTTGAAATACTTAGAATAAAAGCAATTTACTGAAATAAAACTAACACAAAAGCAATTTCAAAATCTCTTAATCACGCTGTTTAATTGGATTTCAAATGATAATAATCGACCCGAAATAAAGATTTGTACTTCGTAAAAGAGGGTTAATTATAATATTTTTGTTAATAATACCCTGCAATAGTGATTTATATTCTAAAAGTAATCTTATTACAACGAAGTCTTCTAAGCGTACATTTAATTAGTATAATCCAATCAAGTAGTCGTCATGGCAACCGTTAAGCAGTTACATTCGTTAATTTTAAAAGGACATATTCTAATTTATATTACTATTTTATTGTTATAATGCATTTGACTAGATGAATAAAATTAAGTCAAAAATAATTAAATAAATTTCACTTAATTTGATTCATTCATTTAATATAATGGAAAATGTTGGATAGTTTTTCAGGTTAGCAAAGAGCATATTAAATTTATTTTGTTCATTTCAAATTAATTATTAAATTATTAATTGCAAAAAATTACAATATTTTCTTAAATATTTCAATATATATTGAATTTAAGATCTTGCATAAGAATTCAGCTGGTTTTTAATTAATTCCAAAGCCTCCGTACAACTTTCCATTAAACAAGCATAATTTTAAACTAACAATTCATACACTGATTAATACTCTTATAAAAAGCAGTATAAAATTCATAATATTTTAAGTATTTTCTAAAGTGTATTGTAATATGAGTGTAAACGTGCAGTCAAACACGTAACTGCATATTTCATCGTGCATTTGGCAAAATTTCTGGTATTTTTTCTGAATTTCTTCTACTAAATTTTACATCTTCAGTAATCTATATCTGAGAAATCTAAAACCAAAACGGGCAAAAGAAAGTTTATATATTTTTGAGCCTAAAAACTTTTTAAAATTTCGGTTTATTCGAGATTGACGCTTCAGCATTGCAAATTGTATTGATCGGCATTATTGTAACTGTTTATTGCAGATCTAATTTTACGCTCCTCTGCTTTTTTTTTCTTTCTTTTTTTTTAGCGTTTAAATTTTTTTGTGAAAAATGAAATACTTCTAGCTATTCTTTGAATCCGTGCTCAATAATTAGTAAATTAGGAATCCAATTTAGTTTGTTGTGTCTAAAAAATCAATTTTATTTACTTTTTTTCGAAATATAACAGCGTCTTATAAACCACAATATGAGCAGAGATCAATAGATATACAAAACAGATCTGAAGTTATCGTGGTAGGTTTTTCAAGACTTTTCTCAGTTGGTAAAGAATTTTTAGAGTTAATTTCACAAAAATAGTTCTCATCAAAAACCAATTAGTATTAGGAAGCCGAAGTGGCTCAAAGGATGGAGCCTTCGCCTCCCAATGAGGGCCCCCGGTTCGAATCCCAGCTGTGAATGATAGGTATGAATTCTGCTCCCGGCTCGCACCGACCACAGTGCTGACATAAAATATCCTCAATGATGGACGGATCATGAGTTAGAATTCTCTTGCCGTCGGACTAACCGTGAAAGGTTTTGGGGGTTTTCCTCTCCGTGTAATGCAGATACATTTTAGTTTTTAAAAAAGTTAAGCCAGTTTGTCCCAATGCTTGATCTAGGAGTTCTCTTGTTTTCTGGGACAGGTTCAATATTAGATTGCTGCGGAATTGAACATTGGTAGTCGTAAACTCAGAATTGGGTCAGTTTTTCAACGCTGGTTAAAAAGTAAAATTAGTCTTAGCCCCCTATGACAGAGTTTCTACGTTTTACCTTGAAAATCATACCATCCAGAGATTAGATTTTTTGCTTGAAACCACTAGGTTAGGTAGACTGTCTAGGGGGAATGTAATGTAATGTATGTAAATGTGGGAATGCCGCTCTAACAACTAACGCTTACGATAATATGTGGTAATTATATCGTTATATGGAAGAAACAAGTACTGTCAAAACGTCATTAAATTCTATTTTAATGGATGAGCAAACTAAAGATTTACCGCTTTCAGAAATAATTTTTTATATATATTTCAGTTGGGAATTGTCTTAATGGACCAAGGTAGAAATTCTGAGGCTTTGGAATTATTTAATAAAGCTTTAGAACTGGAGCCAGATCATGAGGTATGTATACATAAAAATAAAGCATCTAATTTAACAGGAAAAAAACCGGATATTAAGTTATCTCAGTAACTTATGTCGATATCTTTATATTTTTATGACTTATTTTTCTTGAAATGTCTTTTCTAAAGAAAAATTCTAAATTTTGCCCCCAATGAATATTTTTACAGATTGAACAATTAAGTTATCTCAGTAACTTATCTAGATATCTCAGTATATTAAGTTATCTCAGTAACTTATGTCGATATCTATATTTTTATGACTCATTTTTCTTGAAATGTCTTTTCTAAAGAAAAATTCCAAATTTTGCCCCCAATTAATATTTTTACAGATTGAACGATTACGTAATATAAAATATATTTAATGTTTTATATTTAATGCATATTATGTGCTTAATTCTTTATACATGCTGCTTTTATAAAATTTCAAATTTTTAAAAAATCATAGTTAGAAGTGAAAATTGTCATAAAAACATTCGATTTAAAGTTGTTTAGTATTGCGAAAGAATCTAACTTTCAACCTCTGTATATTATATTGGTCAATATTATTTATAAATATTTAAGTATTTAATCATAGGATTTATCAAATTGAAAAGTTTTATACAATAATGTAAACGAATTTCAAAAACAATTTTAAAAAATTAACTAGAATTGAAACTGATAAATTATTTTTATAATTATAAGTATGCTTTGTTTTCTTTCCTCAGAAATCTTTAGAACTCTCAGCTATTTTAATGCATGGTTCAGGACTTCCGAACGAAAGAAATTTAGCTAGAGTTCGGTAAGTGCAGAATTACTAGTTTAGATATCCAGATGATAGTTAATAATATATCTAAAATAAAACTATTCATATTCAAAGCTATATGAGTGCTAATTAATTAATTATTGAATAAAAATTAAAAATTTCGAAAAACATTTTAAACTTTCTTTATTCTAAATCATTTTCATTTATTAAATATCAATTTATAATTAATAATTGATATTAATTAATTACTTAATTACTTTATTAATTACTTTGCTAATTAATAACTTAATATAATTACTTTATTAATTATTTTACTAATTAATTACTTAACAAAATTACTTTATCAATTACTCTAAATACATATTAATGAATAATATTCAAAGAAATATGTAGGACATTTTCTTGAAAAATAAAATTATATCCTCCATAAACAATGAAAACTTTATTAATTAATTTTTTTAAAAATTATTTATTTATTCAAAAACTATTATTTATTTAAAAGCTAATTATTAATTCAAAAATTATTTATTGATTTAAAAGCCATAGTACAATTTCGAAATTTATTATTTTTTTAGAAACAATAATAAAAAATATTTGAAATTAGCAGAATTTTATGTAACTAAAATCTGCCAAGCGTTTAAAGAAATATATTGGTCATTTTCTTGAAAAATAAAATTATATCTTCAATAAACTATGAAGTTAGCTTTAGTTAGCTTTTATTAGTTAGCTTTTTTGTCCAAAAAAGGCTAACTTGTTCATCATTAGTCTTCTCTGGAATAAGACATATAATATCACATTCAAGTTCTGATTCAATTTAGTAACATTTTTGGTCAGCTTTCTAAACGCTCTACTTAATTCTTCAACATTTTCCTAGCAAAAGAAAGATGAATTTTTAAACTATGATAAGTTTTTTTCGATATACAAACCCACGTCGCACTTCAAAAAAGGAAATTTTCCAGGTGTAGCACAAGAAAAAAACCCGTTACTGCTATTGATTTTATCATGAAGTGATCATGATTAATGATTCCTCGTGTTTCAAATGTCATCAGATTTAATTCACGTCATGTGGTTAAAACAGTTTACGTGATTGATGGAGCTTACTATGCTTCATCTAATAATAATTTTAATAGAAAAACGAAATTCCTGAGTTATTACTTTTTTTATTGTTGTGAGGGTGGGATATAAATTTTAAATGACAAATGAATTTGAAATTTTGAATAAAAAGTATAATAAAAGCAATCAATAGAAAAAACTTTAATATGTTGAGAAGCTATTTCCAACAAATGAAATCAACATCTTAACTGCATGCTAAAAATCATTAACATTAAACGCAATTCTTAATGTTCCCCAAGCATAAAATAGCTTTAAAGAATCATTTGTCAGGATTTATCGTGCTTAAGTTTGATGTTTAACTGAGAACTGGAATTATTTCTGGAAAAAAAGGGAAACATTTTTTGCAAAGAATTCAAAATAAACTCTGGTGCTACTTTTGAAGTGATGTCTGTTAAAAGAAGCAATATTTTAAATCATATTTCTTTACGCTTTCTTTACTGAAAATTAAAATTTTTTTAGTGAAAAAGGAAGAAAAGTGTTTTGCATTGAATTTTAAGTGCAAAAAAAGAGAAAAAACTTAAAATGTTCTCTAATTGGTTTTATAAAATAACAAGCATCATTTTATCCAGGTTTCAATTATTTTGTTTTAATCTATTTAACTTTTTGGAAACTCAGCTCGAAATCATGCTTTAATATTTATTTAACAAAATACTATGAATTATTTAAGGATTATTGTTCAATTTTTGTGGTATTATATATTTTTTATTTCGAAATCAGTGAAACTTGCATTTAGACTGATTTCTGCTGTGCTATATTACTAAGTTACTGTGTTGTCTTACTGCATTGTTGTGTTATTTGTGTATTGGGTTGCTGTTGTGTACTGTGGTTATTAGCGTTATATTTGGACAATGAAAAAATTATTCAAAAATAGATATTTACGCTAACTTTTAATGGAATTTTTTTAACAAAAAATATATGAATGTTGGTATTAAGGCTTATTTAAGATGAATTTTGTAAAAAAAAAAATAATGATTGACTCATTAAATAATTATTAGCTGGTTTAAACTTATAGTTATCTTTATAATAATAGTAGCGACAAAAAATCCAGAAAAGAATGAATCATGATGTGTTTATTCTGTGCTTACTAACAGGTTGTTTAACTGTTTTAATTAAGAAATTATTTTGTTTGGATAAAATTTCTTCCAACTACAATTTTAAGTTTCGTTTGAATCCTGTAACATATATATGTCGAATAAAACTTTAACCATTCTTTTGATTTAGGAATTTTTTTTAAATTCCTTAAAAAACTGAATAAATAATGCTCTAAATGCACTAAAATCGGGCATATACTTGAGAACTGACTTCAAAAACAATACAACTCATTTTCTAACTTAACTTATTTCCTAAAACCTAAAATCTATGGTTATTTCAAGAAAGTTTCAATCTTCGCAAGCTTTTAATTTTTTAGGTCTCAAACTAAAAATGAATGCGACAGTTAAACCGATTATAATTGGTGCGAAAAAAAATGGTTCTTAAAAAAGAAAATAGAAAAAAAATAATGTTCTTACTAACTTTCATGTTCATTAATATCTTTTTTTTTAAATCTTAATCCGATGTGCTAGTGTTCTTCACCTAAATAATTGATATAGCAATTGAGAAATTTAACCACACATAAACACATTTTTAAATAATTTTAACATTTTTACTTTAGTTTTTAAACATTTATTTTTTTTAAATATTTTTTATTAAATTTTAAAAAAATATTGTTTTCATAGTGAGTTTAAAATCATCAACTTTAAAATTCTGTTTTTTACCAAAATAAATTTAATCGGTCCAAAAATACGCCAAAACTTGCCAAATGTGAACAAAAAAACTTTTCGAAAACGAATTCGAGAGAGCTGGATTTAAAACAAATGACAACGGCATATCATAGAAATAACTGAAATAAAAACTTTCCTTAAAGTTTAAAAAACTATATCGCATTTCCGTTTAAAAATGACATTTATACTATACCTTAATTAATAAATCTTAATTATCTTTTCCAAAAGAAATGAAATAATTGTGGTGACAGAACTTTAATAAACATTCACGCTTGGTTACTTCAAATAAATTAAAGTGCTATTTTCCCCTAAGATTAAATTGTTTAATTATATTTAGGATGAAAACTTTTCAAATAATATACATTTATCTAAACATTCCAGCTCAATTTTAATTAAACTTAATTTTTTATTGCTTCTTGTTTTTTAGTTAGAAATCAATATACTGGAGGAAACAAAATTAACTCCATAAGTATAAATTATTTTTCTCTACCAAATAATAAGCGTAGTTTATTTTATTTTACTTTAATGTTTTATTTTATGTTTTGTGAAAATTGTAGACCAAATGGAAGAAAACGGAACGCGTTTATTAAAATTTAGGATTGCTTTCTGTGAACAATAAAAAAAATTTCAATAGTACAAAAGCTATTAATGTTTTATTTTATGTTTTGTTTTCAGTTTGAAGAAAATTATAGACCCAAAAATGGAAACCTAATGCGTTTATTTAAATTTAGGATTGCTTTCTGCGCTCAGTAGAAATTTCCCTATACCAGAAAATTTATTGTATTTTACTTTGTTTTATTTTGTTTTGTTTAGAGAAAATTATCGATCCAAGAAAAGAAGCGAAACGCGTTTATTTAAATTTAGGATTGCTTTCTGTGCACAGTAAAATAAATCAATATTGTAGAAAAGTTATTGTATTTTGCCTTAATGTTTTATTTTCAGTTTGGAGAAAATTGTATATCCTAGAAAGGAAACGAAACGCGTTTATTTAGATTTAGGATTGCTTTCTATGCATAGTAGAAATTTCCCTATAACAGAGAAGCTAGTTTATTTTACCGTACTGTTTCATTTTCAGTTTGGAGAGAATTATCGACCTAAAAAAGGAAACTAAAAGCATTTATTTAAATTTAGAATTGCCTTCTGTGCGCAGTAAAATAAAAATCAATATAGTAGAAAAGTTATTGTATTTTACTTTAATGTTTTATTTTGGAGAAAATATAGGCCCAATAAAAGAAACGAAAGGCGTTTATTTTAATTTAGGATCGTTTTCTATGCTTAGTAAAAAATTTCTTATAGCAGAAAATTTATTATATTTTACTTTGTTTTCTTTTCAGTTTAAAGAAAATTATAGACCCAAAGAAAAGAAACGAAATGAATTTTTTTTTTTAAATTTAGGATTGTTTCCTTGTATACTTAGTAAAAAATCCCTTATAGTATAAAGGTTATTCTATTTTACTTAATGTTTTATTTTCAGTTTGGAGAAAATTGTAGACCGAGGAAAAGAAACGGAACGAGTGTACATAAATTTGGGATTGTTGGCTGTGCACAATAAAAATTTTCCTATAGCAGAAAAATGGTTCAGAAAAGCTCTTCAGGTAAAATTTTGCCTTCTAAAACTCATTACTTTCTTTAATTCCGAAATTCGAAATTTTTAAAGTAACCCTGGAAATAGTTACTAGCGCCGGCAACACAAATACTATCAAAAAATTATCCTTATTAGACAAATCATGAGGTACAGTTCTCTTATTACTGGACTAACAGTTTGAAGTTCAATGGCTTCCTTTGTCACGGCCTTTGTCCACCAAAGTTGTCTCTATGCGAGGAGAATTAAAAATTCTGGTAAAATTACTGTATTGTATAGTAGTGACTATTCTGGGAAAAAACTGCAATTCTGGTTAATAAAGCCAAAATGTTTAGTAATTAAACCATTAATTTCGTTCACATGGTAATGGTTAACAGAGAATTCCAGTTTTTATTGCCCAAATTCAGTTAAATATACAAAAAAGTAAATTTTATCAAATAAATGGTTTTTATGCCGTATTCCTAACGTATCCTGATAAATTATTAAATTTTACCACATTTTCCAAATTTTAGGGCATATATTATAAAACCATATTTTATTGTTAGTTTTACTAAAATCATTACCGAAGCGCCTCGGTAAATTTTATCATGTCAGTTATTCAGACAATATAATTTTTTTAAAGAGCATATTGAATTTTCCGACACCCATGTTTAATTCCGTAAACTCGTCTTTACGAACCTAATCCAAAAGACAAAGAACTTAAGGAACACGCATTATGACAAATGTGCCTTCGATGAAATTTCTTTCAAATGAAACCAACCTATATGTGCGCTACTCGGCGGGGGAAACCACGAAAACTTTTACAGTAAGCTCAAAAGCAAGAGTATATTACCTATGACAGGGTGCTATTAATTAAAGCTACACTTTTTTAGGCCAACATAGTGTCCATCCTGGTGGGAAAATTTCAATAAAACTTGGTATGTATGACTTAAATCTTGAGAAAAGAAAATTCAGTAAAATATTTCATGCATTTTAAATATTCATAGAAGAGGCTTTTTACGTACGAGAGAAAAGATAATGTAATTTAGAAGTCACTACCGCAAAAGATTTCTCCTCGTGCGATTTTCAGAAGAAAGAACTGATAGGAAAGAACTAAGGATGATTAATAAATTCGAAGAGATTGGAGTAAGGGATATGCCGCAAGAAGTGAATGTGGCTTCAATTGTGCTGATTTTGTAAGGAAGCATATCGTGTCATTCATTTTTCTGCAATTGAGCACGAAGAATCCTTTGTGCCTATTTCGTAGCTCAATAACTTCAATTTTAATCCGATTAAATTTATTAGTCAACAGTGTACGGTTTGCATTTTGCTTAGATATTTTTAAAATTATTAAACCAATGTAGGGAAGATATATTGAATTAAAAATGTTTGATTTTTAAATTTAGTTCACTAAAAAACAGAGAGCACAATCAAAAAAGGGCGTAAACATGCTGTTTAAATGTTTGTGATAATTTGGTTGGAAATTATCGAACACGCAAATAATGAAAAACATAATTTTAATAAAAATCTCATTTAAAATTAACTAAAGGTTATTCCATCACACTGAAATAATATACGCTGTACCTTTTTTATATTTATGCCAGTTTCAGCTAAAGCTACAGAAATTGTTCTACAGTGCTCATATCAAAGTGAGTAAAAAAAAATTTAAAATATCATATTTCTTTAAAATATTATAGAGATGTTATTTTTTAAAGTTTGTAAAGTTTATAGTTAAAATTATACATTTGTAAAGTTTATGTCGAATTTTTAAATGGTGTTCTTTTAAAAATGGCATAAAAAACCATATATCTACAATAACCCTAAATCATATTCAAAATCTCACAAATAAATTCAAATATTTTTACTTCAATAGAACTTTCAAAGGACTCAAACAATTTGAAATATTTTATGCTATCACACCATGGGCTAAAATAACACAATCCATCAAACTACGACACAGCCATCCATCTCAATCATGTCAAAACATTATACAAAGCACCAATTTTTGCATATAAAACTTAAAAACAAATCCCTCTATAAATTTTATCCCACAAAAATACCAAACCCGTATAGAATATCTGATCTAAAAAAATACGATCTGTTGGTGATTTAACCATGTTTAGAGGAAGATATTCTCTTCTATATGGAGAAAATCTCCCTCATTTTTTTCTTCTCCCTTCTCTCATCCATACATATTTATTCTTCTTTTTCAGAAGGATCCTATTTCCCGAGAGGCACTCTTCAACCTGGCTCTGCTGTTATCCGAAGAACACAGACAAGCAGAGGCAGTGTTCTCTCTCGATCAGCTTCTCCAGGTAATGGGCCGCCTGTTTTCCATTATAGATACACTACACTGATCATGTCTCTTGGACGATGCATCAAGTTTAGGCCTGTTTTATTCATCGCCAACCATACAAAACAAAAGAAAGATCCTCAGCATGTGGTTTCCTTTTTTGGCGATGGATGTAATGAAACTGTAGATCCCGCAGTGAGCTATAGGATGTTTCCCATAGGAGTCATTTCATAAAATGAAGATAGTCTGTCACAGGTTATATTAAAATAAATGTAGGATAGAACTTGTTTTGGGGTACTAAAGACATTTATTTAGCACTAAACGTGTGTTTTGAAGGACTTGTGTAAAGGTTTGGAGATGATATATTGAAAGCTTAAGTTGTGTAAATTAATTGAGAGGATTAATTTTGATATCCGTTTCAGAAAGCTTATAGAAAAAATTCTTGTTTTGTTATTTCATTTGCCTTTTTGAAAACGATTTGTTACAAGTTTCCTGGAATTTCACACCATTCTTTAAGACTTTTGTTTTCCAATAACTTCTTATCTCCTCGTCGACCTGTATGCTTTAGCCATTTGTAAAAGATTGATTAAGTGATAATACTCCTTTAAATTACATGGTAAAAAAATTACTGTTTTAGTGTTTTGGAACGAATTTTAAGATAATTTTAAGTTTTGTGCTACGAATGTTCAATGTGTGTTTTAATGGACTGGTGCTTTAAAGTTGAACTAATATAATAAAAAAATTAAAATTTAAGTTATGCAAATCAATTAAGGTCATTGTTTTCAAAACTCCTATCAGAAATTTTACAGAAGAAAAAAATTATACATTGAACTTTTGTTACTTTTTTTTGTTCTAGTGTGTATTTTTAATCTAATTGAAATACTTCATTGCTTATAAATATAATTTCGTTAAAAATATCGGCTTTTTTCAAATGCTCCATATAAACTACGTTCATAAGTTTATATGAAGAAACCAAGTCTGACTTCTAACGAAAAGCAGAATAATTCTTTATCTTAAAGTTTAAATTAATAGCATTTTAGCTGTGCGTAAATAACGTAAAAAGAAATATATAAACTATTTACAATTTAAAGAGAAAAAAAAATTTAAATAATCATTACGTTGCTCCAAAAATTTAACAAATTCATCCTCTCTTTTCCACTTTAATTCAGTTTTTTTCCAACTTATTTCCTTACTTTATTATCAGTTCATGTGCGCAAATGAAAATTGAAGCACGTGTCAATTTCCCAATAATAATGGTGTTGAAAATCACAGTGAACCATTGAGTTATGTAAATTATATTAGACATTATTTAAATTCATAACAGTATTTATCACATAATAAAGCTAACTAAAAAACTAAAAATAGAGTAAACAGGCGAAAATAAAATATGGCAGAGAATTTAAATTCTAGAATCTTTCTTTCTTAAATTTGCAGCATAAACTAAACAATTCACGTCAAAGTTAGCAGGTTCTACTGCTACGACCAGAAGAAACTTTACAAAATCCGTTTCCCTGATGTCACAGTTGGACATCTTTAAGTGTTTTTATCCATCAGTGAGGGACGGAAAAAAACGTTATTTGAGTCAACTATTCTGTGTGTATCAACTTTTCGGAATCATTTCACAAGTTTCTAGTTTAACTTTGCATTATTTAGTAAAATTAAGAATTTCTAAACACTGTCTGAAAGTTATAAATTATGAATGTATAATTTTCCGGTTCAGTAAAAGAAACAGTAAAACTATTTCTATCATAAAAATAAATGTAATAAAGTAGCAAAATAATTTCTATGGACCATTTTAAAAAATGAATAATATAGATGAGATTCTGTTTCAGGCAATGTAATTACAATTCACCTGTCTAATTACAAATTAGTTTCTCTTATCCCTGACAATTGCAATTTGCCATCACAACAATATTATTACCTTAAATAAAATATTGAATTTTCGATTTAGTTCTAATTAAATAAAAATAAGAAAGATAAACTTAACTGCAAAATTTTCTGAACGCAATTGAAAATGCAAAACATAATCATTTAAAATGTTTTCGAAATATTCATTATTCCAAAATTGCAAAGACTATCTAACCCTCATTATGAAAATGCATATTTCAAATTCCATAATTTGATCATTCAATTTACTCTCTTTTCAGCACTATCCAAGTCACATTAATGGTTTACTGTTGCTGGCTGACATCAATGTCAATTATTTGCGCAATCTTGATATTGCGGAAAAGGTAAATTGCTTATTCAATCTGCAATTTTTCGCTAATTCCGTCTCATTAAAAATAATCTACAATCTTTAATTTCATTTAATATGACGAAGATTTGGAAACCGTATCCAATTATTGAATCTACGCAGAATATTTGGAAATCATATAATATGACGAGCTAATTATCGTCAACAAAGAGAAAAAGATACGATATTTGAATTAAATTGATCTTCGGTATTTACTTCTAGTGAATATATAATTAGTAACATATTTAAAATTCCATTTTTTGTAAGATAAATGAAATTCTATCTTTATTTAAAATTGACAACCTACGTCGTAGTTTTAAAGGAGTTTGTGACAAAAATAATTTGATTATTTTTTCTTCCTAATAAAATTTTTTATAAATGTTTTTGATAAACGATTTCATTTAGGTCTTATTTATTTTGTTATCTATTTTTTAAAGCAACATCGCTCTCGAATTTTCTAAAGATTATAAAAAGCTTCGCAAAAAAAAAATTAGTACTTGAAAATCATCATTAGTACACTGAGAAAAAAGATCAAAACTACCAGAATATGGTAAAATTTACAGTGTTCCTGGTTCTATGGGAAAACCGAAAAAGCTTTGTAATTTTTACCAAACCGCATTTGTAGTGATTTTGATAAAGTAAACAATAAAATATGATTTTATAATATGTCCTAAAATTTGGTAATTTTATTATGATGCCTTAGATCATGGTACAAAAACCATTTTAAATTTACTTTTCCAGACTAAATGTATGGTGAGAAAAACTAATTTTCAAAACCAGAGTTTCCGGTAAACCATGACCATATGAGCAGAAAAATTTCTAAATGAATGGTTAAAGTACCATATACTTTGGCTTCATTAATTAGAATCGAGGCCGGTATAGTCTGGTAGGAAGGACGCTGGACTCACGTTCGCGAGAACGGGAGTGACTGGCGCACGTTAAATATGTCTGGTCACAAACTCCTCCATATTTCCATAACAAAGTATACCTCTGTGGGTGCTAAATTGGAGATTGATAATTTTCTGGTTCAGGTCAAAATTATGATCTGTGGATAGATGTATGAATGGGTTCGCCCTATAAACTAGTGCGACGCATGGGTGTGGCAGAAGTCGAATTCTTCGCCATAGATGGCGCCATTGCAAAACAAGAACTGTCACACGCCTTGCCTTATTGACCTGCGACATCAACGGCATTAATCGGAATTATGATTCTTTATTTCAAATGTCATTACCATACTGTACGGTAATTTTACCAGAATTTTTTTTCTTTGTGTACCATTTCGTCGGTAAGTTAGTTAACAATAAACTATCAAACTCTGAGCTTTCAGTTTTAAGCTAAATTATTAAGCTAGATTTCAATAAATAAATTTTAAGTTCAAGTCTACCAATTGTAAGGATGGTTTTGATTTGCGTCTAGTGTAGTCATACTTCAAAAAATCAGATTTGTACTTCAAATTCAAAAAACAACTAAGTTCGTTTTTTTTAGTTTTTTTTTTCTTTTTAATATTTATAGTGGAGAAAAAATACGTCCGGGTATGTATGTACCTTGTAATAATGCTAACCTAGTATGTACTTTAACTTAACAACTAAGTTTGTACTTCAGCATGAAGGCAAAGTTTGTACTCAAGCATTACAACCAAGTTCGTACTTTACAATAGCGACCAATTTTATACTTTAAAATAACTACTTTTTTTCTAATTAGTGATATAGTTTAAAATACTGACCCAGGTTGTACTTAAAAATTTTCACTATAAGTTTGTATTTAAGACTAACCATCAAGTTCATACTTAAAATCGACCCAGTTAGTATTAAGTATTTTAAGAAAGCAATTAGGTACTTCAGAAAATCAGGAATTAAAAAGTTAGAAGTTAAAAAAAATAGTGGAAATGTTGGTTAAGAAGGAATGAGTGAAATGGTTTTAAACAGAAACTAATAATAAGCATATCTTATTGCAATTTTTCTAATATATTCTATCAAAGGCAGCAAAAATTAGTTTTTAGATTCTTCTAAAACTAACCTTTTTGTTTTTGCTACAAATATTTCATGAAGAAAAAATTTTGTAACGATTTTTCACGTAAAAAAAAAAATTTATAAATTTAGAAAATATTTTTTTCACTTAATTTTAAATACCTACTTTATTCTTCATGCCGACCGGCCTGTATAGAGGTTAGGAAACTGCCCTTGCATCAGAAAGGTTCTGGGTTCGAATCCCGGACAAGGCATGGATGTTCTTTCCTTCTCTGTACTATATGTCCTGACTTTGGAAGCAACGTTGGCCCACCTAATATGGTGCCCCTGAAGGAGAGACCAACAAATCTGCTCTGTAAATGCCTAAATTGACGGAAAATCTTAACACAGGTTTGCATTGGGAAAGAAAAAAAAATTTTGTTCTTCATTAGTTACAAAAGAAATCAATGGAAAATTTTTTTTTATATTTGCTAATTTTATTTTTGTAATGATTAAAGGAAGCAAATCTTACGCTTATAATTGTATTGAGTTATATAGGTGGGATTTAAAATCTTCCTACAACTTACCCGGTGAGATTTAATTATAAAAATGGAGTATATTATAAATAAGAAAAATTCACCCCCCCCCTTTATTGAGCACACTTTAAACTTATATCAAAGTCAAGAGCTAGCATGCATTTCTCTAAAATCCACAAAATTTGTGAATACTTTTCTAAATTGCGCATTAACCTCACTTTTACAATGATTGAGTTTAATTTATAACACTAGTTTATCATGCGCCAAACGTAAACGATGTTACGTCTTCTAATTATGCTTATAAAATAAAGTTGGTCAAGCAACCTCTTCCCCCCCCCCTCTCCGAAAAAAAGAGCTTAAATCCTCACGTTAATTATATCAAAAAGTAACCTTATTTTTGCATATTTTTGACAATGGAGTCACTTTTTTCTCATTTTGTCTTTGTTTAAAAAAAAAGAAAAAAGAACTACAACATCCGTATATTTTATGAATAAAAAATATTTTATTTAAATTACTTTGTCTTTTTTTCCAGTGCTACCGAAAAGTTCTAGAATTGGAACCAGTAAACCAAAAAGCTTTACACAATCTGTGTGTTCTTCATTTTGAACGTCAGGATTTTGAAACAGCCGAAATATGCTTAACTCATGCGCTCTCTGTGCATCCAGGCGTATCTTACATCAGCCAACACTTAGATATTGTCAGAAATATCATTCGCCAAAATCAAAAAACTGTTTTGGAACATTTACAATCACAGCATTCTTTCAGCTGACAGATTGTAAATTTCGACGCCAACTGATAGAGCTTTCAAATTCAAACTTCTTTGCAAGCGTCAGAACAAGAACATTGCAGGCATCAGCACAAGAACTTTGCAAGAAACAGAACAAGAAGCTTGTGGTAAAGGATGGTAGAAAATGAAGGTCATGGTCGTAAATAAAATTAATCTTAACATTGAATTAAGATTTTGCTATTTCGAAGTAATTTATGGAGCTAGGCTTACTGACTTAACATCTTCAAGAATTTAAAAAAGCATAACATGCTAAAGATATCTGTAAATATCTACAAAAGTTTGCATTTTTATAATATCCAAGTTATTTAAGAAACTACCATGTCTTTGACCATCAAAGTATAAATGTTGCAATGAGTTTAAGAATTAATTGACGGGGAATGTTTTTCTATAATGTCAAAAGAACTTGGATTTCATACACTAATCAGACTTTTTTTTAGAAGTGGTTTCGTTAAACATAATGTAAATGATATTTTAACTCAAAGGCAGGTAAATGTCGATATTTTGGCATTATGTAAGACACTTTTGAAATACCAACACATCCATAGTTTATACAACGCAACTTTAAAATTGATTCTAAAGAACGCACTTCTTTATTTAAGGGAATTTTATTTTATAAATAACCTTATTTCCTGAACAATTTCACAACAATTTATGTCACTATCATCCAGCATAATTTCTAAATACATTCAATCAATGTGTGTAATAAACAGCAATATTCTTATTAATTTTAAAAAATGTCAGTTTTAGGCATTATTGCAAATATAGTATTGCAAAGTCAAATAGAAAAGATTAATCCATTCTTTATGTGTTTTATGTGAAAATTTAGATTTCACATTCAAACTCAGAATAATTTAAAAATCAACGCACTATAGATTTAAAACAAAATTTTTAACATTTTGCAATAAAATACCAATTTCATTCCAACCATCAATATTTGGTTTTAGAAGTTTTATTTACGGAATTCAAAGATATTTTAAGCCTTATCTTATAATCTCAACAAACCTAACCATATTGGGCTTCGGATTGATCGTCTACTACGTAACCATCAGTTACTGTTTGAAGTTTAACTTTAAATTTTGTGAAAAAATACGCGCAATACATTTATTTCATTGAGCTATAATGCGAAAGGAAATATATAAATATTAATTGTGTCTTTAAGAGAAATTTGTGAGGTTTGGACGATATCGTAATACTTTTCTCTCAACTTCGCACTACATCAAGCATATTCCCTTTAAACTTCTCACTCTCTTCTGATTTTTGCTAATACAATCACTCAGTCCTTTCTCTGCTGTTTTTATGGACTACCGAGTGCTAAAATATTAAACACATTGCATGATGAACTTGTAATATTTGCTTAAACTTATTCAATAAAAATTATACTATTCTTCACTATTCTGTTTTGTTATTTATTCTTCAATGCATAGCAAAAATTATTCAGAACAGGGTTTTAAACTACCAATGAGACAAAATTACAAAAGGTGCGAACGAAGTAGAATTGCAAGGTGCAAAATTAGTTCGACATCAGATAAACGATGTAGTTCACGTTACTGTTATAAAGATAACGACATGGTTTTGACGATGGCTAGTAGCTACATGCTACAGAAAATGTTTGGAATTCAAACCAGAGGCAAAGCTTCATTCTTGGCATTCTGGAAGATTTCTGGTTCGTCGCTGAGCAACAAGTATTCCAGCAATTAAATATTAGATTGAATCAACTCAGGTCAATAAGGTCTTCATTCAAACCAAAGAGGAAAAAATCCAGGCATGTAGATTCGGTGATCTGGCAGGCCAATGAATTGTACCACATAGTTTTTCACATACCTAACATTTTGGACCATGCGAAGCAATGTTTCGTTTTTATTTATCCCGTACTTCTCTTGCTAGTTTGCACTGTTAGTTAAGCCACCTTATATATAAAACTTGCTATTCAAGAAGTTTGATACATTTCAGTTAATTTTAGAATCAGGAAGAAGTAGAATAATTAAAACTAATACTAAGTATAATGAAAACTAAACATTAAGGAACATTGGTTATACGTGTCTGGATACAAATCCTGTAGAGACATGCCATGCAGAAAACAGAAAAATATTAGCAGAAATTATTTTTAATATTATAAAATTGCTAGAATTGCTATTGAAACTATTCTTAAAGTTACAAATAGTTTCTGGAAAATATCTCAAAATGCAATTTCAAATTCTAAAATGAACCACAGCCTTAATCAACGACATTTCTAGTTTTTATTTTCATATTTTTTTAATATTATGAATTATTCATAAAGTAATTCTAATCTTAGTTTTGACTACTCAAAAGTCATTTTATGATTACTATAGAAAAATATATTCATTCAAGCGATGAGAAAAAATGGAGAACTGTTTTTGGAAGACAAGAAGGGAAAAAAAATTCAAATTGTGTCACAGACACGAAGCAGCGAAGCGCGTTTTAGGACATGAATATATCGCTCATAATTTATTTTTGTGACAAACACATTTCATTTATGCATATTTTGAAACAAATGAGATGAAACTGCTCTAACTCTTTCAGGCTAACCAAAAAGTTTTTAAAAAAAATTGTTTTTGTTTGTTTGTTTTTTTAGAAAAAAACAGGAATAAGTTATTTTCAGTTGATGTGACAACATTGAGAAACATACTTTTTTTTCTGTCAGCCGATCTCATGAATACAGACAACGTTTCCAACTGAACATTCATTTCAAAAATCCTTTGAAAAATACATTCAGATTTTAATGCATATTTAAAACAGAGCTTTGAAATGGCGATGTTTATGCATAGAAAATAAGTCTTATTTCCAATTTTTCTTTTTCTTTCTCAAATCACTCTTATTAAGTATTAAATAGGTGGGCTTTTTTTCCGGAAGCATATAAAAAGTAGTTGTCTTAGAAATGCTCAACTACTTATACGCAATAAAAAAAACTAAGTATTCTTTTTTAAAGTATTTCAATTTTTATCGCGTCACTAAATGTGAATTTTAGTTAAAATGACAAGTCATTTTTTAAATGAAAAGAGCAATATTTATCATTTTTCTGACACATACAGAAATAATAATGAGAAATATGACAAACATAAACAATTCAATAAGATGATTTATACAAATGCTAACACTTACGGCTTCAGCAAGTGCATATACCTTTCTCAAAAGTTGTATGGCTCCATTAAAATCCTAAAAATGAGTTGTTAATTTTGATGAGTTTTTCGTAAAATTTTTTTCATACATTCGAATTACTCTAAGTTATTTGGCAAGAACGATTTAGTTAGAATCAAAAAATCCTCAACGAAGGAAAGTTTTTCACAATCTTACTCTGTATTGGTTTGAATGACGTAAACGATTCTATAACCCACCCCCTTAGTAAGTTTCCCTTTACATTACGAGTAAGTTTCAATCAAAAAGTTTTCGAATTTCAATCTAGAAGTTCTCTACAAAAAAAAATTTTTTAGTGCTAGTTTAGATTGGTTTGAATGACGTAAGCGATTCTATTTCTTCTCATTCTTCTGGTTTCCCTTTTCCATTACGAGTAATTTTCTATCAAAAAATTTTACAAGTTTCAATCTTATTTATTTATTAACCGGTACACATACATGTAGGCTTGTGTGCTCAATTACATAAGTATGTCTTATAAGTCTTTGCCTAGTAGAAAGATAAATAGTACAATTCAGAGAAAGACAGCTCGAATAAACATTCAAGTTTCCGATGGGATTTGGACCCGCTACCTCCACGATACCGAGCGTACATACCGCTCGGCAAGGGCGGCGCCAAGTTTCAATCAAACAGTTCTTTGCGAAAGAATGTTGTTGTAGTTTATTTACGTCGCACTAGAACTGCATTATAGGCTATTGGCGACGGTCTGGGAAACATCCCTCAGGATGATCCGAAGACATGAAATCACAATTTTGATCCTCTGTAAAGGGGATGGCAACCCCGCTTCGGTAGCCCGACGACTTGCACGCGAAGTCAAGCACTTTAACTCAGAACAGTTTAACGAGGACCAATACCGCACACCCTCGCTTCTTACGCAGACTGATCCGAATGGTCACCCATCCGCACACTGACCGCAGCCAGTGATGCTTGACTTCGGTGATTTGCTGGGAACCGTGTCTTAACGATCAATCCACTGCGGGACTTTTTTGCGAAAGGATACGGTATAGTATTTTTATTTACGTCGCACTAGAGCTACACATTGAGCTATTGGTGACGGTCTGGGAAACATCCTTGAGGATGATCCGAAGACAACATACATACGTCACATCCCGTTTCACAGGGAGGACACACTCATACACCATCCATCCATCCGCAGATCGTAATTTTGATCTGAATCAGAGCACGATCAATCTCCGAGCACTCGATGTAATTTTAAAGATAGATAGTAGGTACTTTATTTACGTCACACTAGAGCTGCGCAATGGGCTATTGGCGACCGTCTGGGAAACATCCCTCAGGATATTCCGAAGACATGCTATCGCAATTTTGATCCTCTGCTGAGGGGTTGGCTCCCCTGCTTTGGTAGCCCGCAACCTGCTAGAAGTCGAGCGCTTTACGGTAGAACAGTTTAAGGAGGACCGATACCGCGCACTCTCGGATTTCAAAGAACGTTGCTTTTTCTTCTTTTTCACAATTTACAAATCTACAAAAATCATAATCTACAAAAAAGACTCTGATTAGAGATCGAAAGTACTCAACAGTCATTAATAACTGTTACACACTCGTAACAGTTCTAAAATTACATACAATTTGCTTATTTATGTACTATTATATATGATACTGATGCAGAGTCTTCCAAGAATAGTCTGAAATTAACAACAAAATAAATCGTTACTTGAAAATTTATAGACCTCGATATTTTAAAGCAAGTACAATTAAGTGACGTTAATGCTTAAATAACATAAAAATTTCAACAAATATGGAAAATTTCATGCATATTTATATTTTTTCCTGGGTTTATATGAATGTTTTTATTTAAATGAAAATATATATATATACATTGAAAAACTTTCGGATTTAACTCAAAAAATGACTCCCGAATTAAAAATACTAAAAATGGAAACGACTAAGCATTATTAATTTAAATTTGAAGCATTTTTATGTTTATAAATGCAAAGCATGTTCAATATTCGAATAAATAAAAAATAATTCTTTTTCGCCATAACAACATATTTAAAGTAGAAAAAAAAAATAATAAAAAATTGAAGAAATAAAAGTAAACTTCTAGTTAAAATAGGAATTTAAAAATTATTTTTCTCTTGACAAAAAAAAAAAAAAAAACTTGTGCTTGATGTTTATTTAATGAATATCTCCATTTTATGTTGTGATTTTAAAACATTGTAGTAAACCTTTATCTCTGATTTCGATAAAATTCGGAGTATAATAAATAATTAGACAATTATATTTATTACTTTCAATTTCACAGTTTAAAAAATAGTTCATGCTTTTTTTATAACGTCTATCCTTTTTCCTACTTAACATATTCCGGTCCGTTCAAAACGTCACATACTTTTTAATTAAAATAAACTTCCTTAAAAAGTTAATTAAAAGAAGCATTATTTTTCAGAATGAATCCAATTGCTTTAATCTCGCTGCTTTGAAAAAAAACTCGAAGTTCACTTTTGAAAAATATTTAACTCTTAATTACTTCAACTATCATTAAAATTAATTTTATTGCCTCGTATTTTTTAGTGTCGAGATTCCATGACTTAAGCACTGTATTTATATTTTTTTACTGCTACACTTTTGAATTTTTGAATACAACTAATGAAAAACTCAAAATATAATACAAAGTTAATTGATGTTTGGTTAGGAAAAAACATTACTTTTCAATTAATTGTCATTATCTCTCGTTTCTTTCTCGCTTTAATTATTGAATGGTGCAAATCAATTTCGCAAAAATATTTTTTCTTAACTGTGTAAGATAGAAAGAGTAAAAAATCTTGAAGTAAAATATGTTGCTTTGAAACGACAAATATAAATATTAATGAAAGTTTTTGTTAATACAAAATAATTAAATAAATTTCGCTAAAGCATCAGAGATAAGTACAAAACATTTTTTTAAATGTACAATAAAAATATTAGCTCAAACAGTGATAATTGCAATAACTCTTCAATTAAATGGCATTTAACTTACAGTTACTTCTGAATAAAGGACAACATAATACATTTTCTTTTTAAATTCTGTTTCTAAGCATAATTTTTTTCAGTCAGTGCATTCAACAATTGACAGGCATCAATAAAATGTTTAGCAATTCAATATTTGAAGACGAGAATGAAATTTGTTTATTCAAGATTGGTAATACTAGTTTATTATTGTTTTTGTTATATACCCTTTTTTAAAAAAATAGATTAGATAGTCGTTTAAATAATATTAATTAAAATCATTTTTTTCTTTTAAA